CTAGCTTACAAACCCCCTGTCACAACATAATCACTGGCCTTATGGCTCCTAGACACTAGACAGGACAAGGCATTGTCAAACCCAACTACAAATACACTACATAGTTTCAGCCCACATCACCACAAACTGAGGTGGATCAAAGGTACAACAATAAAGAATTCAAGCGTATAATGTAACCACTAATTGCTTCATATGGGAACCGCCTTGATGCAGATCTATCAATTTTTCTTCACGTATTGAGTTGCTGCTCTGTTTCGATGTTTTTCTGATAGCTGCAAGTATAGTGACCAGTTTCTTTCCTCACATTTGTTGAGAAGTGATAATTTTTCTTCTCCTTTTTAGCTCCCAAGGACATGGAAGCTCATGTGAATAGATAAAAAGGTCGAGTGATCATTGTGGCACTCCCTTTTCTCCTCTTTGAGTGTGAGGTAAAGATGCATATAGATATGGTGCGTTTTCATGTCTCCAAAAATCACCTACAAAAATTTATAATGGTCAGAATTCGGACTATTAGATATCAGTTCAACTCTTGAAGTTTTTGAATAAAATATGTAAAATATTATAAACTATTTCAGTTCCACACTTGAAGTGCAAAATATGTCAAAGACCTGTTTTTAAGGGACACCAATCACGAAGCAAGAGATTTAACGTGCTTCAGGGTAACTACCCTACTGGGATAAATCATATATAATCGCCAACGTGAAGGTCCCTTAAACCCTGCGAAAATACAACTATGAGCTTATTTGATGCACAAAATTTCGTATGAAGTTCTCATCGTGGCTATATGATGAAGAAAGACAAAAGGAGGATTCATCTAAACTTCTTAATCGAGATTGCGTAGAAATAAACTTTTTAACATCCGTAAGAAATGAAAATTATTTTTTAACAATTGGGAATATTTATTTATCTTGGAGAAAATACTTCGGTACAATGAATGGAGAAAATAGCGCACTTACCTCAATCTTTTTTTTCCTTCAGTCTGGAGGCCTTTTCAAGTTTTCAATACAGATGAAAGATCAAAAGGTGGCAATAGATCGTGGAGATTTTCACACAACTATTTTCTTTTCACAACCTTACTGCTGTCACCCCTAAATGTTGAGTTTATCGTGGAAAGGTGTTTCTTGGCGATGATTGGAGCTCAGAAAGCATGACCCAACTTAGTTTTAGATACGCTTCCTAAGACCCCATGAATTACGGATCATAGGCCTAACACTGCTTAAACTTCTTCACGTTTCTATCTATACATGCCTAATTTATCGAGGACACCTGCTCCTATTTTTGTGATTTCCCATCTGAATGCATCAAGATTGTCTCCCGACTGGCGGACAGTGTGCCATTACAAGTCACATATTTAACAAGGTAAATGTTTCTAGTGCCATACGCTTTATGGTTTTACGAAAATCAGGCGACACAGCACTCGAAATGTCAGCCCTATGTTCCTTCAAGTCTACTTATCCAAGTGTACTTTTTGCTTCAGCAAGGAAACAAATCGAGAGTGTATCTCATTCTTCTTTTTGACGTGTTGGGAAGGTCAGCAAAATGGTATATCATCAAGTATCCTACCAGAAGTATTACAATGTACTGGACACATCAACTTCCCAAATACAATGGGGAACAATCTCCAACTATCGACTACATACCTGTGAAGGTTTATACAAGTGGGACATATTGGAAATGACCTATCAACTGCGCAGACCATGTGTTGAGGAACAAGGTCATTCCATGAGTAAAGTATTGGGAGAATATCAATAAAAAAAGACGAAGCATGGTAATACCAAGATTAATTGCTCAAAAACATTCCATTGTCGATTAGTGGGGATTCATTGATTCAATTTCAAGGAAGAATTATTTTCCATGGTGGCGGGCTGTAATAATCAAACTGATTACTTTTCCTTTAAGCTTTATCACTTTAACTGAAGTCCACATCCTTGAAGCTAGCGCTATCTAAAGACTTTAGACCCATATCTTCCCTTGCCTTAGGCTCACTAGTTATTCTCATCAATTTCAACCGTAGTGGTTAGTCATGAATAAGGCATATTATTCTCTCAACTGACTTTTAGTGAAGCGTAGGTTGGTCATGTTCTCTGAGCCATAGTTCCCCGTCTCTCTCTTAACTTCTGTTCGCTTTCCATACTTTTTTCTCCTTTAACCGTCCATCCCCTCTCGGCCACATGGATGCCATAGTAGTCACCTGGAATGCACGAGTAGCTGCCGGGACATGCGACAATGAACAAAAGTTGGTCGTCAACAACATAACAATACCTGGGTAATCTATTACTTCTACGACACATTTCACCCTTAAGCAAGTTGAGCCAAGTACTTTAGTAGTGTGCCTTTCGCTCGTTTTAGAAGCACAACCGTTAGCATCACGTCTGTTGCGACTCAGATGTCTCATACGAATGCAGTTCTAGGAGTTGAAATCCCAGGTAATTGACTCGACATGTATTACAACACTTCTGACTGCAACCTTATTTCATACTAGGTCTTTTAGCATGTTAACGTAATGAACTGCCTCTTGGGGTTGCCTCTCTACTTTTACACCAAAATTATATGGAACTTCGTTCATTGGACTAAGTGAGGCCTACACTTTACCCTATTCAGAAGTTCACTGATAAGACTATTTTTATCATTTAACTTTTTTTTGCTCCCAATTTTTTTATCATTATTTTGTTTTCAAGTCATTACCTTGTCCAATAGATACAATATATTGATTCATTTCCTCATCTAATTTACAAGCTAGGTTCCTACATTCACGACCATCATACAACAAGTCTGAATAAAATAACGAATTAAAAAATCTCTTAAACAATAATTGAAAGTGCAAAGTTTTCCATTTGGAGCTTTGAATTTTCTTGAAGGTAGAGAAGCTTGAGGTTTCAGCATGTTTCTTTCCATTAAATATAAAATAAGTTAAGCAAATATTTTGTGAAACGTGGTACTCTAGTGTTTCACACCTGTGTGTTGATCGGAGGATGAAATCCGAAGCCAATTGTCTGCAAGAAGGATAATTATGCTTAAGATTGCCAGTATCCTGTCATTTAAATCTTTTGTTCTAACAAGATTAAGGGAGTTATCTCTCATAGTTACCTCTCTCATTATAGATACATTTTATGATTTAAAAATTAATTCAGAAGCATAGTATACTTTTATGAACCTATGTTCTACAAGTGAGGAAGACCATCTCTCAATAGTTGGTTATTTCATATAATTCTTCAAAAATAGCTTCTTCAGCATTCAATGAGAGATAGACGCCCTTTTCGGTTCTCCATCAATTTTGTTAGCATCACGTCCTTGTTGTAAGATACAAAGCCACTAGTTCAACAACTGGATTTCTATAATCATGTTTGAAGCCATTTGCCCAAAATGTTATTACTCTGGTCGGCCATGCAACTTGAGCTTAAGCTATAACTGTTAATAAATCATATTGAAATGCCCAACTTTGCTGGTCGTGGTTTGTGAATTTTAATTGTAAGTTTCAAATGCACCTTGAATATGATGCGGAAGGCTGATAACGCCAGCACAGAGACTTTGCACTGATTTTCAGTCAATTCCGTGAAAATGATCTGAAAATCGTTTACACAAATTTGAAGGAGCCGGAGATTTCTAACCTTCTTCTGTCAACAGAAACCAGCAGTCTCATAGTGGGTAGAATATAGCTTTAGGATTAGCTTTCCAAAATATTCATATTACCTTTTGTTCTTATCTGCAAGAAGGTGACACCCGTCATGTGAAGCTTCCTTATAAAAGAAATTCTGCTGTTATTTAAAGCCTTTATTACAGTGTTAATATTCAAAGTTGAATAACGTATTGTTTTATTATCTAAAGTGTCCTTTAAATGATATAATAATAAACTACTACGACTTTACCCTTTGACCAATCTTGCCTACATCACTACCTTATCCCGAGATCAACCGCGGACTGCATGGCTCAGCTCCACGATCACCTGAGTTATGACTCTTGCATACCCTCCACTGACACTCCCGTTCCAGTCCATTAGCCCACAGGTCATGCTTTTCGTCAACTAGCTTTCTAAATATCCTATTTATTACTTTTTTCCGTTGACTGACTCATTTAACCTCCATGACATATTCCCCTTGATCTAATGAACCACCCTGCCAGACAGATACCCGAACACAGATCACCATTCGTCAACGGCGTTCACGGCAAAGTGTAAGTGGCAGTGGGATAGGCGGCATCGCAGGTTAAGATCCCATGTCTCTAGGGATCATCATCCGTACTATTAGCTCTACAGATAGAAGAGGTTGGGTGATGAATTGAGGTTTTGTTCGATTCTCTGCAATATTCTACTTTAAATGACGTAATATCAAACTGCTACGACTTTTCCCTTCGGGCCAAGTTTGTCGACATCATGACTTTATCCCAAGATCTACCACGGATTGCATGGCTCAGCTGCACAACCTCCTGAGTTATGATTCTTGCATACCCTCCACTCTGCAATAATGTGCTTTAAATGATATAACCATAAACTACTACGACTTTTCCCCTTGACCAGTTTTGTCGAAGTTATGATTCTTGCATACCCTCCCTTCTGCAATAGTGTGCTGTAAATGGTGCAACCATAAGCCACTACGACTTTCCCCCTTGACCAATTTTGTCGACATTAATACCTTATCCCAAGATCAACCACGGCTTGCATGGCTCAGCTCCACAACCACCTGAGTTATGATTCTTGCATACCCTCCACGGCAGACTCCGTTTCAACTCCGTCGGCCCATAGATCAGGCTTTTAGTAAACTAGCTGGCTAAATATCCTATTTATTACTTTTTGTAGTTGACTGATTCATTTAACCTTCATGGCATATTCCCCTTGATCTAGTGATCCATCCTACCGGACAGATACCAGAACACCAATCACCATTAGTCGATGGCCTTCACGACAAAGAGTAAATTCCAGCGGGATAAGCGGCATCACATAGTAAGATCCCCCGTCTCCAGGGATCATCCGTCCAATTAGCTCTATAAATAGGAAGGGTTCTGTGATGAAATCAAACCAGCTGCCGACGTTAGAAATCAGCAGCAGGGAACGTCGGTAGTAGACAGCCCTGTGGCCATGGCAATGAGAGAACTATTCGCCCTCCTTTTCTCTGCTTTCTTTCTCTGTCTCATCTCTCCCTCCTCTGCGGCGACGAACGTCCTGTATACTAACCAAGCTCTCCTCACCAACCAATACCTGCAATACGGCAACTACATCTTTGGTATGAGGGCCGACTGCAACCTCGTGCTGCTCGACAACGGCAACGTTGTGTGGTCCACCGGACTCAGTAACCAGGGCACCAATTGCGGTGCACGCCTCCAAGGAGATGGCAACTTTGTCATATTCAACAGTAATGGCCAACCCGTATGGGCGAGCAATACCACCGGTCCTAGTGGCAAATACGTCGTCATTCTCCAGCCCGACCGCAACGTCGTCCTCTATGGCCCATCGCGCGCGGAGACCGGAACCGCAATCTAAGGATCCAGGCACGCAGGAGGAGCATCGAAGGATGTCACAACAGTGCCTACGGATGTCAAAAACCCTTGAACAGCTCTTGAGCATAGACGATATTGTACTTTATTTTCAGGAAAGACTCGAGCAAATATTCCATCCATTTTCATCACGTCAAACCCAAACATGAATGTCGTTTTTCATACCAATTCTACGAAAATTAAGACCGCCTTTCTGCATGGGAAACTGCCATAAACCTATGTCTCAAAATACTCCATCTCACTTGCCTTTTGGGAAGTCGCCTCTAAACATGCGTCAGGGACGCACCAACCCTCTCATCGCCGGTGTGCTCCTTGTAAATCACATCTCATGCTTCTCGGATATAATGCCAGGCACTTTCCGTCCTCGGTGCTCCTTGTAACTTCATGACACGGCTCCACATCGACCGTATCCGTGGATATAATGCCAGGCACTTTCTCAAAACATGACAGCCGTCGACTATCGATCGTGCACTACAGAGATCACTTATCAGGCTTACCTTTGCGCCTGCTCTCTGGATAATAACAATAGGCTGACTGTCCACTGAACATGGCTGCTGTAAGTCAGATATTCTGTAATTTTTTATGAGATTGAAAAAATATAGGATAACGTGGCCGTCAGTCTGAGCTACAATGATCAAGTGAAAGATTTCGCTCTGACAAGATTGCAAAGTGAAGAAATCAATTCGGGTAGCCATAGACATTCCTTTTCTGTAGCTTCTTTCCGGCTTCCAACACCGAGGACCTGTTGTGAAATCCATCCTCCACGCACTCCCAATCTTTCAAGAGATGGAGAAGAATGAACGCCATCCTCCATGCCACGCCAATCTCTCAATCTTTGTTACGGCTCATCGCAAGGGAAGAGAAAGAAAGAGGAAGAGAAGGACGATCTCGATCGTAAGAGAAGAAGAAGGGGAAGAGAGAAAGAACTAAATTCTCTACGCTGCCACGACTGAGATCAAGCCTACAAGGATAAGCAAAATTATCATCCACGAACGATTATATTCTTTCTTATGACTGTTTGCAAGGCAAGAAGAAAGAAAAGAGGAGAACAATATTGATCCTCCACGCCTCAACAACTGAGATCAAACCCACAAGGAAAAAGAAAAGAAAATCAATCATTCACGATCCCTTCTCTCCACTTCAATCGTGCAAAGATGAAGGAGAAGATCGAATAAGCTCATCCGCCTCTCTCTGTTTTGGATAAACGTGATAAAGCTCAAGTCGGCTTCAACCAATTCGACGATGCGCCACTCTGATCAAGGCCTTTGCATAGTCATCTAATTCTTTGTCTCTAAAAGCGGCAAAAGGTGCATTGTATTGCCTCTATAGTAGATGATGTTGGTGTAAAAAGCTTTCAAGCAAGATGGTCGATGGCATATGAAGATCAGGAAAAAAAAGGTTATCTAAGTATCGCATGATTTAAGATAGAATGCACAAATTGGTATCGTCCAGGACCATACCAGAAACGAGTCATCTTATTCATAGTTTCTTTAAAAAATAAATCAAAATAAAATAAGTGAAATTAGACGTCCCAGATGTGCTTATTCATACTTCTGGCTTTCGGTGCGCTAGCTGTGCTGAGGCGAGGAGGGATTCTGGAAGGGATCCTACCAGCCCAATGTTAGCGAGAGAGAGAGAGAGAGAGAACTCTGCACTTCATTTCTTCCCTAGGCTTTTAATGATTAGGTAATATCTCTTTTCAGAAACCATCTAAGTAGCACAACTGAAATTATAGCCGAATAGCGGTAACCAGGTGTAATAGCGGAGATTAAAGTAGGGTAGGGGTGCCAAATGAGTGAAAACCAACAAATTTTCTATCTAAAGTTGAGGAAAATGGCCCACCAGATTGCTACTCTGATCAACATGTCAGAAGAGCTACTCTCCTGTGACTGCGCCATATAAATACCACGTTCAATGCACTAAGGGGTTCATACAGTTAGCCGTGTCTTGATGGGTTAAAATCGCCAACAAAACTTTGGGCAGATCCCACTATGACGAGTGAAAACCTACTTTTAAAAAACTCCCAACTCATCATCGCCTTCCTCGCTGGACAAGAAATCATAATAGAAAACTCTCATGTGAACAGAGAAAACCATGTACTGCGTTGTCCCTCATCATGTATCCTCCTTATCAGGATGAGGAGAGTAAGAGGGAGAGGGAGAAAATTAGTGGATACCACAACCGCATGCGTTGGGTCGCCACCATCCAACCTTTCCTACGTTTGATCTATTAGCATATATGGGCTGTGACTTCTCACATCGATTGGGAATGTGACCATTTTCGATACTTTCTCCTGTTCCCTCTAAACTTCGGCCCCTCCGCTTAATGCATCCGGATAAGCGATGGGCATATCGCCTCCTGCTCGTCACGACGTGATACATCGGATGCTTCGCTCTTTTCTCGGGCATCAAATAAATGTAGGAGGAGTTCTACATGGGCACTGACTGTTGCAGTTGCTCTCGTCGAACCATTCTCACCCATTCCATGTTTTTTTCTTCTTGCTTCAGCGAAATCGCCTCCGCTGTATTTCATTATTGCAGCACGCAGAATACCAGCCTGGACGGAGCTCACCGTCCACTGACGCTCCTGACGACGTACAGTGACTAGAACGATGTGTACAGAAGAGCAATGCTGCTCTCATTTTTTGTTTCAATTTTCTCACTTGAAAAAATGTGATACTAGGCCTGAGAAATATACAGTCCCAACGATCTTCTTCCTCTACACCGGGAATAGCGGAGCTCCCCTGCAGCCAACCTCATCATCTCTCCTCGAGAAAAAACGAGCAAAACTCTCCATCTGCCCAAAGACGATAGATGATAGAGTGGAGCACAGCCCCAATGGTGAAATCGTCAAGAAAGAAACACAAATCACGTCCCCCTCTCTCTCTCTCTCTCTCTCTAACCCCTTTCTCTCTCTAGTGTAATTCTACTCGTCCGAGGCCACGCCAGCCAAGAATGACTTGAGAGACTCGTAGGTGAGGAAGACTATGCCCACGCTGGGAACAACCTTGTAGTACTCGGGCAAGATCCCCCTGTACAACCCACGCAAGCCCTCGGACTGGACGATGTCTCTGAATGCGGCGAAGAGGCCCTTGTCGTAGACACGGGCTCTTCCCGCCACTCCTTCCAGCTGCATCCGCCTTCTAACAAGATCCAGCGGAAAGGTCACTGCATATGGGCAAAAAAGGAAAAATATCAGCGCCAGATATATCTGCCGAACCCAGGAGCCAGCCTCAAAAATATATTCTTTCAGCCAATAATTGAATACTTTGCATTAATATTTACTCTGAGCGGTGGGTCTGTACCAGTAGATGAGGCGATTCCAGAGAGACTCCCACACGCCAAGCTAACTAGAGCAACGTTATCACTGGGCCTGCAAAATACCTCAAAATATCACCCAGCCAGAAGAAAACTTTCAAAAAAAAAAAAAAAAAAAAAGGGACTCGGCAGAGAATGGGTTGTTCATGATGTTAATGCATAGAATAGATAGTCCCACAGATCATGGCCACCGTTCTTTTCAACACCTCGACTTTCCTTATACAGAGGACAAATCTCAGCACATATAAACAAAGAGAGCTTAGAAGGGGCGCTACAACCTACCTTTCGAGCTGCCAAACGGATCTCAGTTTCTCGTAGACAGAGAAGCTAATCGCTATACTGGGACCAACACCCTGTGTGAGACCAACAGTCGATGAAACTCAAAGAAACAAGAGAAATGTGTACACAAAAAGCGGGAGGAAGGAATGTAGCGTACCAACAACGTGGCTCCAAGGCCCTTGTACAGTCCTCTGACCCCTTCGTCTCTACAAATCGCATAGAGTGCGTGTGTAATCCCTCTATAGTAGATGCTATTGGTCTGAAATTTTTGAATCAGGAAAGTCACAGGCAAATCCAGACCGGGAAACGATGTAATGCAACGAATGCCAGTTTTGAAATAACACAGGTTTCTCACAACGCGATTCAAGAGTAAAACGATCCGCACATACATAAAATGGTCCGACTGGTGGAAGATATCACACAAACAAAGTAGATCAGGATGATGATATATAGTTTCACTTGAATCCATAATCAGATTAAATCAGATCAACATATAACACACTTTGACGCTCATCTAGATTTATGTGCTAGTTATGCATACTACATCATAGACCACTACACAGCTGAATCGTTCCCATGTTCAACAGAATATGAATCCAGTATATTGCAAAATCTAAGATCAATTGACAATATTCAGCCAGTAAAAATTACTCTTTCTTTTTGTAGAGGCCACCAGATTAGCTTCGAATATAATAGGGGAGACAAACAAATGCCCAAATAAAATGTCCCTCCCAATTCTCACAAATTAGTATCATTGCTCTCCCCTGTTCAAGATAAAAGTTGCTTCTTCACTGGGTGATGAAATGCCCTAGGCCAGAGTACCAGAAACAGGTAGACTGCTCAAGTATGGGGGTTACGGATCAATTAGGCACAGTGCTTACAGCAAGAATCAAGACAGATCAACTTCTTTTGAGATATGATGAAATTTATCCAAGTAGGAAACTTCAATATAAGAATGCTCGTCAAATGAATGGTACTATTAACTCACAGAGAAAAAACCAATGGCTTGTCAAAAGAACGCCATATTCAAATACAGAGAGAACATAAATTGTTGTGATAAGAATGTCATCTTTAACATACCCAGAAATCACCAATCGTTTGTCGAACGAATGCCATATTTAGCTCACAGAGAAGAGACCAATTTCTTTGTCAAAAGAATACCATTTTAACAAACAAAGAAGAGACCGATTGCTTGTCAAAAGAATGTCATATTTTTTAACATATAGAGAAGACACCGATAGTTTTGGTAAGAATGGCATCTTTAACGTACTGAGAAATCTCCGATTATCTACCATAAGAATGTTGCAATTAGCTCATAGAGAAATCAATTCACATCCTGTTCCCTAACTGCATCCAAAAAAAAAGATCTACATTTTAAGCCACGGATGGCAAGATATCAATGTGTACAACCGGGTGATACTCACATCTAGATCTGAGGATGGGGAAGTAACCATGGACCTTCCACAACACAAATCCACAAGCGATTTATTGAAGGAAACCAAGAGAAACGTGCATTCCAGGGACCCCAATACTCTAGAAACTTTGGAGGCATTTGCAAAAACTCCAACAAGGCAAAAAGAAAAAAGAAAGGCAAATTCAAATGGCCTACATCACATGTTTTGGTGATCTGCCAATCTGCATTGGAAATAAGACAATCTGAGCTACTTAATCAGACTATACCTTAGACACATCAATTGGTTCATTTGGCTAGTTAATGAAGGACAAAATGAGATGTCCAGACTCCTTAGAGAAAGTCCATGGAGAAGACATCAGCACCTTTGATTCCGTGTATGTCTTTGAAGCTGGAAAATTCCTCAAAGACACAATCGTGATGGTCATAATAAATAGCAATATGTTGAAGATCTCAAAGCAAGGTACAAAAATTCATCAACAATCGACAACATGGTAGCAGTCCCCATTCCTGAAAGGAGACCTCCATTGCATCAGTTGACCATCAACTGGCAGTAACTCAATGCTAGGTCATCTGAAAGTAATCGTCTCTAAAAAGATGAGGACATGGCAGACTTCCAAAACAGTTATTCCAATATTCCAACATCTACTGCACAGGTTACTTAAGCCTTTGCCTCTGAAACCACCCAAATGATCCAAATAACATCTTAGGTCGTCCGAGATTGAAAATATCACTTTCATGACAGAGAAAAATACAACACATAGTTTGCACACGTAAAATTAATACTAGTCACAAGTCTTGTCAAGAAAATCTTATGGTGCCAAAGCAGACTCCAGATCAGATGTCCGCCACATTAACCTCATTGCTAATGAAGATAGATTGAAAATATCTGATGAAGACAGTAGTCATTAATTTCACTTAGAATGAATTTCCTCAAGGTAACCAATTTGAGTCTTTAAGCGTCATTTCAGGCAGAGAACCAAATCATTACCTCTGATCATTTTAGAAAAATTACGACAAATACAATAGGAGGCGTACACAGGAGTCTTCAGTCACTTTTCAAAGTAGAGATTCCAAGTAATGAGATCTGAATGGCTTAAAGATACCCACCCTGATACCAAAAATATTCTACAAACTAGTTCAAAAGGAAATACAAGGACAGAAGAAAATAAAAAACCTAGCGAGCAGAAATATTCCTCTTTCAGAAAGCAGCCAATTGAAGCATTGTTCAAACCAATTAAAACTTGCTACAAAGTAGATGAGATAGCAAATGAACTGCAAAAGCCAAATTGTTTAACCAAACAATGCATAACAGATAAGATTCCAAATGATAAGAAATAACAACAACAAAGAAATCGGGGCACGAAGATTAAACCACTTAATTCTTCCTCAACTGCTTGAAAGGAAGATGACCGAAATGGCACTCTGACAGCAGTAAATTCTGGAGAGTAGTGAAATGACACATGCCAAAGTAATATATAAGAACCTTGGTTTCTTCTTTTTCAGTACAATGTAGTAAGAATGCTGGATAAAAGATGATACCACCACCTAATTTATCACATCTGTAATATGCAAGATGTTCAACAGTATGCTAAATATCCACATCTAGTTTTCTTGATAGTACCACACAGCGAAAATCTTGGGCTAACCTGAGCTGCAAGTCGCGTCCTCACAAGATCTAGAGGATAGGTCATGGATGCAGCCGTGATCCCCGCCAAGCCACCACCTAATAACCGAAGACACAAATCTGCAGCAACAAAGTCTCTATGTCTGTCCAGTCCAGGAAGCGACTGCAACATCTGAAGAAAATTTGCACAGAAGAATGGGTATGTTACAATCTATTAACATAAAACAACTCTATAGAATGAAAAAGTGGTCATCCAAAGAGTCCCCTATTCACCAGCTTATATCTTTCATAAGCATAGAAGCTTATGGAAGAATATGGAAGACGATGAGCGATTGTGACCAAGTTTCCTCTCCAGAATGCTCTAACTCCTTCTTCACAAACAATACGGGAAGCCTCACGCCATATGCTAGCTTTGCTTAAAGCTGAAACATCAGAATGCATTCCTTGCACCTGCACAGATGAAATTTTATGATAAAATATCCAAACACAAACGAGTTTGATCAAAATAACCGTATTCAAGGACCTCAGTCAGGATCCTAGCACAACTATCATGAGAAGAAGCCATGGCCTAGAATGCAGACGAATATTTCCATTCCTCTTGCTAAAGTGCTGCAGGTATGATGGAACAGTGGTTGGCAGGCCCCTTTAGTGCCCTGGAGGATCCTTCGAGTAATAATCATCTCATGATTCTCCCGATCGAAAATTTTACACCAAAAAACTCAATCACTCTTCACAAAAAGGAGCAATCATACCCACATTAAATCGACCACAGAAACCCACAAGTTGGATCATTGATAAACGGCAGACAAGATAGTCTTCCAAGAGAGACAATAATATCCCAAGAACCTCAAATCTGATGGACTAAACGAAAGGGAAATGCGCCCACCCTTCTACCTTCCACCTGACGACGTCATGAACAACAGAGTTTGTTCAAAGCTGCGTTATTGGTGGGAAACGAGGCAGGGTCAGCATCAAAACTTCTCTTTCCGATCCTATCTCTAGCTCCCTAATACCTGTCCCATCATAAATTAGGCCCAGATCAACCTGCTCACGTTAATAATGCAAATGAAGGAGACCCCAGATACCCCAATGGTTCTAAAAGAAAACGCACGTGGACGAAACATGTCCATCTAACAATGATTGCACAAAGGGACGCAATGCTCTCCAGACTGTTCAGCATTGAAACGCACCTTGTTTTACATTCAAGATGAAAAATATCTAGTAAATTGAAGTATTAGACGAGATGGACACGAACAGGAACCGACACGAAATTTTCCCCGGGTACTGCGTCTAAATAGAAGGATCCCCCTTCGTCAGCTGGGAACCAAGGGACGCACCTGGAAAAGTATCGTGAGGCGAGCCAGCGGCGCCGTGCAAGTCTTGCTGACGGCTCCGGCAATCCCTCCAGCCAGCAGATGAGGCCATGTTCCAATCTGCGGCTGTTGATGCAGGGCCTGCTGCGACGGTCGCTGCTGCTGTTGATGGTGCGCGAACCTCCTCCCTGCCCCGCTGTCGACCGCCGTTGCGCCGCCACCATGAACGGAATTAAGGGAGCCGACTCGAGTCTCCGCCTGCATCCCGTCGCCCCCTTTCGCACCGACCTATGTTTCCTCCGAAACCACAGGGGCAAACCCTAGAAGAAACTCTCAGGATCCCCCCCCTTGCATTTGAGCTCCCTCCTCCGCTGCACTTGAAACGTCCACGCGGACCTCGGCGAAAACCAGAACGGCGGATTCAATATTCCGTCGCGGTGCCTTTCCAGGCCGAAATCCTTTCAGGGCGAAGCGGCGAGAATTTGGCACAGCTGGTTCCGCAAATTTCCTCACGGAGAGAGAGAGAGAGAGAGAGAGAGAGAGAGGGTAGGGGATCAGCAGAAGCAAGGTCGGCACGCGTGTCAGGGAAAGAGGAAAACCCTAAAGTCTCCGACCTATCTCGGTTTCAAAAACCCCCCCCGAGTAATTAACGACTCCATTTGCGCGGAGGTTCTCAGGCGAGGGGGCTTAGTCGCAATTTAACACGCCGTTTTGCCCGAGCAATTACTCCATTTAAATTCAAGAATTTCCCCTCTAGGCCATGTAACAATTATATTTCTTCCCTCATCCTCGCAATTATACCCAGAGGAGATTTGGCGGATTTCTCGCGGCCCATCGGCCGACAAGGGCCCAATCGACGATGAGGTTACGCCCAGTGGGCCAAGACCATGGGCCTATACGGAGGTAAGAACCCAATCAATCTTTCACTGGGCCCACCCACAGGATCATCAGCGCTTAATGCTAGCTAGAGCACTCCCATCTATAACGGCAGGGTCCCCCTCCTCCTATTCCTCGCTTTATGCTGCAGCAGGCACAAATAAAGGAACAGGGCAAGGCCGGCCGTGGGAGGATGATGGATACTCTCTCACAAAGTAGAGAGAGAGAGAGAGGCTTTCCAGAAGATACTCGAGATATCGGGGTCGTAGGGCCCATCGCACGAGAGTGGGAATGAGGAATTGATTCGGAGCAGGGGCCAGCCTGCTGGGCCGACCCTATTCTTAAGGTGGCGGGCCAGGGCCGTTGCCCCTTTGGGAGGGAGGAGGCCCACGCGTGGGAGAGGAGAGGTGAGGGAGGGGAGCAGGCGAGCTTTTTGGTCCCTCGTCCAATCCCCCCACGGGCGCACAGGGACTCGACCCTCTCATACTGTTCATAAGTGAGCGCTGCACAAACTGAAGACACGTCATTGGATAAACCAAGGAATTGATCGGCACGGAACAGTAGCACATCGGGAACCGAATTCCTCTCGTTATTTCGGTTGGAGATGATCAAATCGTGCGAAATAAATGAAGAGAAGATGAGAGGACATGGGGCTCTGAGAATTGAGGATGATTCTCCAATGAAGATGGAAGAACAAACACCGGAGGAGGGGAGGAAGAGGGCAGCAGAAAGATGAACAAACACCGCAGAGAAGGGGTGTACTCACAAGCACATGACTGTTCATCTATCACTACTGTATTTGAGAATTCCAAACTCGCGATAAAGAGAGAAAGAAAGAAAGAAAAAAAAAAAAAGGAATAAGGAAAAAGAGGCTCCACCTTCCACGGATTCCAAAACAGGTCACCGGGGAAGGAGACGGGATGTTCTACACACCTTCCGGCTTGCGCGACTCTGGGCACCCTTGTTTTCTGTGTGTCTTACGATTCCTCGAGGGAAAGGAGGCGCTACGTAGAACAGCAGGCCTTCCTGGCGCCGCTTCCGACGTCGGAGACGTTGATGGTGGTGCCCTGACCCGGCGGGCCGGCCGCCGCCGCCGCCGCCTCCTGGGCAGCCAGGGCCTTCTTGCTGATTATATGATATATTTCGGTCAGTATCGTCTTGAAAGCCTCTTCAATGTTCACGGCCCCGAGGGCCGATGTCTCCAAAAAGGACAACCCTTCCTTCTCGGCCAGCGTCCTGCCGTCCTCCTCTTGAACGGTTCTCAAGTGGTTCAGATCAGACTTGTTGCCGGCCATCATGATGACGATGTTGGAGTCTGCATGGTCTCTCAGTTCGCGTAGCCACCTCTGGACGTTGTCGAAGGTTTGCCTCTTCGTTATGTCGTAGACCAGGAGAGCACCCACCGCACCCCTGTAGTAAGCACTGGTTATGGCTCTGTATCTCTCTTGCCCGGCGGTGTCCCATATCTGTGCCTTGATGGTCTTCCCGTCCACCTGTTGAACAACCCATACAGTAAACAAGTCCCTGTTTTATCAGTATTGAAATCACGATCCAAAGCAAACAAAGAAAAAATCTCGTGATGTTTAACAGATGCTCATCAGTCAACAGTGCTCCATATCGACAATTATATTGACAATGTACTCATATGCGTATAGTAAGTTTTCCCCGGTATCATTTCTGGGAGCCAAGTTCTTGCACGATCTTTCATAGATACCAAAATCAAGGAAACTACGATGGACAAAATATAAAAGTTGAACAGATTCCACATCCAAGCTCAAGAGACTGTTGGGAAAAAAGACTGGACACTCTTTGCTGTACTGCAGCCATACCTCATACTATCTTTGCACTCGAGTACTATTTATGAAACACAGAACAGCAGAAATTATGATGATTAAATGACTGCACAGTTGACACGCTCTGACAATAACATCCAAAGAAGAGTACTACTTGAAACGACGTTCTAATAATGGGAGACGATTATTCGGTGAATCGATCCTGGCATAATCAGCACCAATTGCATGCTTTTACGTTCATCTTTCTCAAAGTCAATTTCAGTCCCTCATAAAAAAAGGCACTATGAAACAATTCAAAAGTTCTGTCATTTGTAAAATGTTTTATTTTTTAGATACTTCATCGTCAGGAACAGTTTCAAATGGAAATAACTTCGTAGAGAGTACATGACCTCTGTATTCTTACTGACGCACAATCTAGCATCCGACGATGAGTTCAAAAATAATTTAATTATTTGCAAGGTCGGTTCAATCCGCAACAGTTCGAACATTAACCAACAACCATTGTAAATCCTACCCATTGATAATCAGAAAAAAAGGGGTCGATTGGTAAGCCATCTTTCGTGGAAATTTGACAGAAAAAGACAGACAACAGAATCACGGAAGATAACTGAAAATACGTGCCCGCATTTATATCAAAAGACTTGAACAGCCTGTGGTGTCATTTTGTAAAAACCTCAATAACGAGTACCTTCTGATGTGTGACAATGAAAAAGAGGTTAAATCAACGTCGTGCTGATTCAGTTTCTACCTCCATACTGTTTCAATGGCAATAGACACAGAATCAAAGGAATCTAGAAACGTTGGATTCGTGAAGAATATTGGCTGCATAGTTTTCAAATTTTTTTCATCTTCTTTGCATATGACTATACAGAACCCATAAAAGTTACAGTAGACGGTCTAGCGTCGAATATAAGGCTAATTTAGGTGCGCTATTATCTGAAGTACAGAAGGCGAATTCAGAGAAAGATTAAAGCATGACTCTCAAGCCTGATAAGTTAAAGGCCAACAAGTGACGAATTACGCCGAAAAAGGTCCGTGAGCCATATCAAACAAAAGTCAGGCCATCGCCTTCAATAAGAGATGAACTAAAAAGAAAAAATATCATGTGACGAATAGATTGACTCGCGGATCCATCAATTGAATCAAATTTCTACACGGACAGAGCGTTGAGAACTCAGATCGACTGCGTATCTGGAAAAAAAAAAAACCACCTGAAGCGTCCTGGTGGCGAATTCAACGCCGATCGTGGACTTTGACTCGAGGCAGAACTCGTTTCGCGTGAACCTCGAGAGGATGTTGGACTTGCCGACGCCGGAGTCCCCTATCAGCACTATCTTAAATAGGTAGTCATACTCGTGGTCAACTTTGTGCGCCATCGCCGGCCTCCTTGCCCCCTCTACCTGCTAGAGAGCCTCTTCCCCCTCCACCAATCTGCATAAGATCCGAATCAGAACCAAATTAAGCCGGTAATCAGATAGAAGATGAACAACATCAAAAAAAGAAAAAAAAAAAAAAAAAACGAGGCTCCCCCTGATCCAAATCGAACAAAAGACGTACAAGGACCTCAGGTCGTCGGAGATCGAAGGATCTCTAAGATTCCGAGCAAGATGGAGCGAGATCAGGCGGGAGGACCTGAGAGAGGTTAGGCGAGGAGAGCCCTTCAACGCCCATGCGCCAATGCCGAGAAACAGAATAAACGACGCGACGGAAATTTTTAAACGGCCTCCCCGGAGACCCCTTCCACCACTTAATTTCCTTTCTTTTTTTTCTTTTATAAACCACCCTCTCCGCCCGCCGCCCCCAACACCTCCCCGGTCTTGTCAGGTAGGCGGTCGGTCCAGAAGCGTCGGCTACGACGCGAATCACGAGACGTTACCTCCGCGTCAGCTCACGCAATAAATGTGAAAAAAAACTCTACTAAAAATAGGCAATAATTTACCGAGCCCGATATCCCACTCTGCCCGAGCTTTTGTCTCAATTTAGACACGAGAACCCGGCCCGAAAACAGGTACATACACTCGCTAGGCCCAGTCAGATCCAGGGCTGACTTCTTCTCTCTCTTCACGTGAGCTCCAGGCCAGAGACCTTTAGAGAAAGTGCCACGTCACATGACAGGCTGTCAACGTGTTTTTACCGTCTAATTGATTAAAAAAATCCACCAATGATAACCTTAATAATTCGATGACCGCCCAGCGTTGTGGGGGGTATTCTCTAATCCGGAACCGTGAGCTGGAGGGCCGCGTCGGTTTCGAATGTGCGAGCTGCGTGGTCCGAGGGTTTTTGGCGTATCTGGACCGTCCACCTACCGAAATGATCGGCGTAGATAGTCGGTCAAGCGCAGGTGGGTCCCATGACGAGGACCCGCGGAATATTCCAACGGTTTGACTTCTCTTTAGGTTCAGCGGATCTGGACTTTGACCTTGCCGAAGGCAAGAAGTCATTATCTATGCCTGCGCTTCTGTGTTCCTCAGTTTAGAAAAAGTCCGGATTTTTAAGCGGCGCAACCATCAACGGCGCGCGGCTCTGTGAGGAGCGGCAGGGGGAAAGGGCGCTTGATCTCTCCCTGCCCCACTGTCGCCACCATCACCGCCATCTCCGCGCGCACGAGGTCACGAGGACCGTGCAGAAGAACGGCCGTTCTGATGAGGTCCTCGCCTCATCATCTACACCACATAGACGACGAAGCTGAACCAGAGGTAGGCGGAGACGGTTCCGGAACAGAGCAGAACGCGAAGCACCATTAGAAGGAGGAGGAGCGGTCCCATTTCCATCGCCAGCGAGCATACAAAACTCCCTATGAGCCTAGCTCGAGGGGGCAGGAAGAAAGTGAGTCAGAAAGGAGATCGACCATCTCGAATGGACCACTTGGAGGCTGACCACCTTCGAACACGGCCATTACCCTTCCCTGCTCTTTTATACCTTGAGTCCTGTTACCTGCTCATCCATGCGCCGCTTCCATTGTTCCCTCCCTCCACCTCCCGTCTACAGTGCCGTGACCCTACCCACCACTATCCCCATTGCCCCCACCAGTCCCCGGGGTCCTATCAAGCTGGTATCAGAGCAAACATGGGGCCTAAATCATCAGATGCATGTATAGATACTTTGGAAGCCGACCTCGGCGACCTTTGCCAGAATATCGCTAACCCTGCCGACTCCACCCGACAGGAGATAGCCTCCACTCGACAGGAGATTGCCTCCACCCGCCAAGGAGATCGCCTCTGCCCGACAAGATATTATCGACTCACTCCAGCAAGAATTCGCTGCACGTGATAAGGAGCTCTGGCAACAACTCGATCTACTACTTATGCAGAGGATTAGGCTCCTCGGCGCCCACCAGTAAGAAAGTTTCCGACATCGCATGAAAAAGCTGGCTGACCCTCTCGATGACTGGTATCGAGGGGGTACGAGTAAGGAGAGTGACGCTCCCACCACCGGAGACACCCACCTGCCACAGCCCTCTTATTTTCCAAGGTGACAGCGATGACTCGGACCCTACCGAGTAGATCCTCGCCCACCGCGGTGAACCCCCGTCGCATGGAGTCCGACACGGACTCTTGGCACAGCTGGAAATGACTCGATATGCCCACATTCGATGGCCGTGACCCAAAAGGCTAGATGTTTCACGGTGGATCACCTTAAAGCCCTCAGCGTCAGCCAAGCGTGACCCATTAGAACTTGGTATACTGGAACGCTTTGGTCCCAACAACTCTCGATCTCTGTGCCAACGCTTCCTCAAAGTTAGTAGCACGGTTCGGTTGTGGGACGAATTCGAGCTGATGGCCTCAACCCTAGACAACTTGTCGGAACAAGTGCTCACAGATACTTCTTTCCATGGCTTGAAGGAAGATATGCAGCTTGAAGTCAGCTTCATGGAACCCATGGGCCTCGATGCTATTATGCGGCTGGTTCAAAAGATGTAAATCCGGCCTCCCACCCTAAGGACGATCTCAGGGATTGATTAACCAAGGAACCACTGCCACTTCTTCTTTAAGACGCCTACCTGACGGCCCTAGTACATGGCGTGATGTTTCTAGTCACCCCCCATCTAAGGGATTGCGTTTTGCCTGCAAGACACAAAGGGGCTGTGTTTTGCCTCCAACGAAAAATACTCTCTGAGCCACTGTTGTCGACAAGAGCCACAAGTCCTCATGATCCACAAAGACGCATCAGACGAAGAACCAGCTGAGGAGATGGCAATGGTTCAAGAAATTGACGAAACTTTATCCACCATAGAAGTCACTTTTCACTCTATGATCGATGATCAGTCAACTAGCGCCCTTAAGTTCTCTAGCAAAATAAACAATTAGTCAGTCCCCATGTTCGTAGATACAGGCGCAATGCAAAATTTATCTCCCTAACTGTGGCCGAGACGCTGCATCTACCTGTTACTGTCACAGAAAATTCTTGGTTACCACTGGAACGGGCAAACATGTCTCAAGCATGGGCATTTGCCAGAATACGAAAATGGAGATCTAGAACCTACTGACGATCACGGAGGATTTTCTTACCCTCCCATGTGTCAGGGTAGACGGCATACTCGGCCTCAAATGGATGCAGAAATTGAAGTTTATCAAGCTACATTTCATCTGATGGGCTCTCCCCTTCAAGCTGGGGCCAGAACATGTTATTCTCCATGCAGATAACCCCACTCTACCAACTAGCATAACCCTCAAAGCCCTCCCTAAAACAATTTGGCCCGACGACATCATCAGCGAGCTCTTCTACCTCTCCAACTCAAACGAAGATCCCAAAGGATTCAGCCCCTGATCATAGTACCCCCACTATCTTCAAAGAGCAGTTGGGTCTTTCCCAATGCATGAAGTTGAGCACACTATGACCTTGGAGCCTGACATATGCTCGGTAAACAGCAGCCATTTCACTACCCTCACTTCCATAAGATTGAGCTTAAGCACTTGGTCAGAGACACTGTGTGATAAGCAAGGTGATGATTCTTGACCGATTTCTAATCCTTATCAATCAAGGAGCTGCTAGACAAACTCTATGGTACCACCATCTTTTTCAAACTCAATCTTCACTTAAACTACCATCAAATTTGAGTTTGTTATAAGATTCCACCAAAGACGGCCTTCCACACTCACGATGGACATTACGAATTCCTTGTAATGTTGTTTGGTTTATTAAATACTCTAGCCACACTCTAAGTATTAATAAAAAAAATCTTACTCACTTATCGCCCCAAATTCATTTTCATCTTTTTTACTACATTTTGATCTACATTCATCATTAAAAATATAAATGACTTTAATCTTGACACGTACAGTGAAAATTGTATTTCTAAATTATTCTCAAATAAGTTCAAATATAATTCATCTTTATACATCACAATTATTTTCATCACAAAACAAATATTATTGAGTCACCAACGATATCCAATTGCATCATCTGAGCAATATGAAGAAGGAAGTATTAGAGCAAAAATAATTTAAATATCAAAGACACATAATGATAGACATGGGGTTCAAACTCAAAAAGAAAATTTCTCAAAAGCAAGAAAATTTTAATCAAAATATTCAAGTCTCAATATTTACAAAATTTGAAATGAAGAATACTACAATGACAATGTGGAAAGTTAGTCAAAATATTTAGAATAAAAATACATGATTACTAACTAAAATAAGACTCAAACTCATGACTCATGAAAGGTAAGTTAGATTGTTTCACATAAAATTAAAAAGAAGTAGAAAAGTTGTTGTCACGTAATATGCATGGTGGCATGACAGTTTTACATAGAAAAAATGACAAAACAAAAATGATTAAGCTTCAACCTAGTATCAAAAGCAAGATCAATCATTGAAGAAGTATAAATCTACAAATATGTCTCAAAGAGTACTTGTGAGAAATATGTATGTTTAGAAGCAAATAAAAACATCTATTGATCAATTAAAAATCTTCAAACACAATGTCAATGGCAACATACCTTTGCGCTGAAATATCTAAACAAAAGTATGACCAAAGTTTAAAAGTACAGATTTTAGATGATAATTGATCAACGAAAGATGTGGACTAAAGCCAAATCAATTGATCTTATCTAAGCAAGACCTTTAAAGAAGAAAACGTTCTTTGATCAGTTGTGAATCTCCAGAAAAAATATTATAAATAATTATCACTAGAGTAGAAAGCCTGAAAGTAAAAAATAAATAAATTTCACTAAAGCACTGATAGAGAAATAATAAAATATTTAAATTAATATGATTGTTTTCAGATGCTGAAGTAACATATATTAGTTAGAGTATAAAAAGTGCGAGTTGAGAATGAATAGAGTTAACACTAAAAAAAGAAACAATTGATCCAAATCACTAACATAAACTTAAGAAGATCTACTCAACTTTCTACACAAACGATTGTCAAAAATGATTAAAAAAATTATTCTACTCAATCATCTACAACAACTTACAAATCAAATAACTATGTTTAAAGATGTCACATCATTCAAGAAATAGTTGTAGAAAAAGCGTCCCATGATTACCAATCAGTCCCCCCTTGGCTACCCACTATGATCATTCCAAAAAATATCCTTCTCCTACTACCAATCTATCCCCACACCTTAACTAAGATGCACATAGGCCAGAGTAGTACTATGACTCATCTTAGGTAGGGGCTAAGCCTTGAAGTCCATCACCCACACCCCTTAAGGCAAAAATACCTGTTGAAACCAAGGCAGTACCAAGACAATCGACCTCCGGGGAATGGGCTAGGTGTCAAGTTACAACACATGGGCTAGAGCAATACCAAGAGGGGTAGTTTCCACTTGAGAAGGGGCTAGGCCCCAAATGGGCCCCTTAAGAGGACCAAAAAAAAAGAAATCTGAGTGGTGAGTAGAGAGAGGGAAAGACTAAAACATGAGGTGTTGAGAGTTAGAATCTGTTTGTAAATAGTGTTATTCTTTGAAGAGAATTGTACTTTAACTTAAGCACGTGGTGTTTTAAGTCAAGACATTCTCGTGAAGAGTGAGATCATTATGGAAATCAAATAATTATGTTAGGAGAGTTGAGCCAATGAAGTCAACTATATCTTTGTTAAAAAATTATAAATTTTGATAGTTGGATCCTCTAGTACTAGATGTAGCATAAGAAAATGTGAATTAATATAAAATCTTTATATCTATCATCACTAAGAGTAAAAGAGAGAGAAATCAAAGAGAAATCAAATATGAATCAAAGCTAAGAACTTTATGTTAAGTTGCATATAGAGTTCATAGAATATGTTAGAACGTGTGTCAACTCATATACATAGTTAAAAAATATAGGAAATCAATTCATCCCTTACTCTTGGTACTTCACTTAGTCACACTACAATTACTAAGAAAATTATGACCATCACTTAGCAAAGGGTTTTACAAAACTTGAGTGTCACCACTTTTGGATCAACATCAAGAAATGTTCTTTTGGCCAATCTTCCATAACTTATCTCAGACATATCAACTCAATAGCTGAAGATGGACCTAGAAAAGATTGAAGTAGCCATTAATTAGTCATCACCCACAACCTTCAAGGAGCTCAAAGGCTTTTTGGGCCTCATGGGATATTATCAATGGTTCATCACAAACTATGACATGATTGCGTGGCTGCTCACCCAACAATTGACTAAAGATGCATTTTGTTGGAGACTCAAACTTGCGGCAACCTTTCAACAACTCAAAGACGCCCTCACAAAAGTCTTGGTTTTTATGTTACTTCATTTATTGTAGCCCTTCGAACTAGAAGTAGATGACTCTAGAAGTAGGTACAATTATCATGTAGAAAAGATGCATCATCACCTATTTTAACAAAGCCTTATCAACTATCTACAAATTGAAGACCATTTACAAAAGATAATTGATGGTCATCATCCTCATTGTCCTGAAGTGGAAATAGTATTTTCTAGGCAACAAGTTCATTATCTTCACTAAACAATGATCTCTTAAATTTTTGTTGAAATAACAATAAATACTTCTAGATTACCAAAGGTGGCTCTCCAAGATCATCTCCTTCAACTTTGAGATCACGTATAAGATAAGAGCTAAGAATAAGGCAGCTGATATTCTTTCCTACCAACTCAACGTCACACTTCAACCCCTAGAAGTGTCACACATATAGATCATTAACATCAATTGCATTCACCATAAATATGCAAATGACCCTCACATTACTCGAATTCTACGAGAGCTATAGTAATTTATGAATCAATGGCTCAAGTACTTCTCCAACTATTAATTATTGTTCCACCAAGGACAACTAGTCATCCCCTTGCCCTTTGACATCATCACATAAGTCTTGACTAAATTTTATGACTCAACTATTGATGACCACTCTTGTTTCCTATGGACCTACAAATGAATCACCTACAGTCTTTAATAAACAAGTATGAAGGCTTGTGTTCATAGTATGTCGAAGAGTGCTCAATCTATCAACGAAATAAGGTAGATGCCTTGGCCTCCATTAACTTACTCCAACAACTATTTATCCCATTCTAGATTTAAAAGTAATCTCCATAGACTTCATTGAGACACTTATAAAGTAATAGGACTACATTGTAGTAGTAGTCATTGTTGATTGACTTGGTAATTATGTACATTTTTCTCTTCTTAATGTGACTTATTCATTGTATAGTAAATCACGTAAATTTAAAATTCATAAAATTAGAAAATATTAATGTTTAGATATTTAAAAGTATTTCTAAACAAATATATCAATTATAATTTATTTATTTTAAAAAAATAAGATTAATTTTCCAAGTTCATTATAGGGATGGAATATAATATAAGATAATATTTCAAAAAAATCTCAAAGAATATGATTTTTTATAAGTTTTATATTACAAAATGAAAATAAAATATATTTAAAATTTACAAAAAGAAAAATAAAGATGCAGACGTCAATATGACATCAACACTCGACGAACGTAAATCGAGAAGAAATAGAGTTTTATCTGATGATTTTTACGTAAGTGATTATAGACGATTGAATTGATCAAATTAAGATTTGTAAAAATTAAAAGAATCGTAATTAAATGAAATATAGCTTGATAAATTTAAATCACAGAAATTATCATTAAATGAAGTTGAAATTAAGTTGAAATTAGAAAAATAGAGTTCTAATATTGCAGTAGTGATACATCGACGATGCACTAGAATTTTGAGCATTTAAGAAGATCGTCATGTAGTGTCCACAGTCTCAAAAGCTCTCCTTAAATAAGGATGACATAGACAATCTTTAGATCTCCTTACAAAGTCTAGAGATCAATAAAATAGGTCATCAAATTGTCTCCGACGACTATCACTCAACAGAACGAAAAAATGACAACTTTACGATTCTTTAACGACTATTACCCGACAAATAAGAGTTGGATAGAAGTGGGGCACGTGTCAGGGAGCTTCATTCTCAGGTTCATGCAGTAAGAGGAGGCTCTTCATCACATCCAATATGCTCTCAAGAGGTGACGACTCATCTCTTGACAGATCATCATCTTTCTGATAACGGCTTGTTCATCGATCAATCAAAGATAATTTACTCAATAAATCTGTGATTTTGTTATCGTGAATCGTTCAATAATTTTAGTAACAATATTTTGTGAATCGTGTTAATGAAATTTTCGTCGATGATCCAACGATTCTCGCAGCTTAATATTTCACCAACGATCTGCAGAAAAGTCATAATAATTAGATAAAAATACAAGTTTTAGCTCTAAGAGGATTCGAACCCACACCGATTGTCTGCCTTCAAAGTCTTTTGAGGGAAGGTGTGACACAAGTTTAGTCCCACATCACTTGTGCACTGAAATTTTAGACAGATATATACTAATATCACATTTGTAAACAATGAGTTCCTTTCTCTCACATGTACAATCACTTCTTGTCTCCATCAGTGTTAGTCGCTCGAGCCTCCACTCACGGCTCCCCTTGACTGTGCTTCCGACCCACTTGCGGGCCTAGTTGGTCGACGAGTCCCCCCTTTTTGTTATAGTTTTATTTTTATTTTATTTCTTTATTTATCTCAAAAATAAGACTATAAAAATCATATAAATTTGTAGAAAATCACATAATTAGTCACAAAATTATGTTAATCAATTAAAAACTACTTTTCATAATTTAACATAAATATAAATCTATTTATCATGATTTAAGACTAAAAATATATTATTTACTAATTATTAGCTCATGATAATAAAGACTTATCACCTTAAATACTTATTTGTCATAATAGACATGGTGTAATTAATCTTTCATAACGTAGTCAATCTTCATAGTATACCATCATATCTAGAGACTAGATCTTTCTTAACCTCTTCTAGTATAAATTCTTCAAAGTTTAAGATACAATTTTCTACAATACCAATGCCTACCACCCACAAATAGACAATGAAACTAAGGTGGTAAATTAAGGTTTGGAAATCTATCTATGATCTTTTGCAGGAGAGAAACTACATCTCTAGGGTCATTGGTTAGCATGGGCAAAGTATTAATATAACACAAACTTTCACGCCTCTGCCAAAATGGTGCCATTCAAGATCATTTATGGAAGTGACACCCCCCCACACACACACACACAAACACACACACACACACATATGCACACACTACTCTAGTACATCACACAAATTGCCTAGACAACTGATATATATACCAACTCCTCCAAGCTCGTGACAACATGCTCTAATGCCTCAAATTGCACCCAATGTGGGCCCAAGATTGGTTGAAAGCTTATGCAGATCAAAAATGGCGAGATGTCAAATTCAACATAGGCATATGGAACTATATCTACCTTCATCTTCGGTGCTATTGACTAAAATCACTGGCTCAACATCCATTAGAAAGTTTGCCCTGCATTCTTCTAAGCCATTCAAAGTTTAAGGAAGAACTGGCATGGTCACCAACCACTTGGAACTCCCAACGACCACCAATATTCACCTAGTATTCCACGTCTCCCAATTGAAGCAAGAAAAAGGAGGAGCACAATCACAACCTATCCGCCATTTCTCCTCAACCCAAAACTCAACTAAAATGTATCTCCAAAGGATCTCCTAGAAGTCTAACACACCTTTCAAGGGCTAGAATTCTTAATAGACTGAAAAGACCTAAACAGAGAAAAACCAACGTGGGAGCATCCTCAGGACATTTCCAGATTTTCACCTCGCAAACAAGGTGAAAAACTTTGGGCAGAGTATTGATGAGGTCCTCGTCTCATCATCTACGTCATGCAGAAGACGAAGCTGACCATCCCCCTCCTCAACTGTGACAAGAGCTGAACCAATCGGAAGTACCGATGGTTCCAAAACATAGCAGAATGCAAAGCACTTGAAGAAGGCGGAGCGGTCCCATTCCATCGCCAAGGAGCCTATAAAACTCCCTACGGGCCAAGCTTGAGAGAACAAGAAGAAAGTGAGTCAGAAAGGAAATCGACCATGTCGAACAGGTCACTTGGAGACTGGCCACCTCGAACGCGGTCATTACCCTTCCCTGCTCTTTTGTAGCATGAGTCATATTACTCATCCATGTGCCGTTTCCATTGTTCCCCTCTCCCTCTCTCCCCTTTGGCATCGCCCGGCTTCCCTTTGTTCCTCTGTGCTCTCATTATTGTCTACAAGATCTGTGTCGTCGTGCGGTCGTCCCCCTTCTCATCCGGTTCGATCGGACGTTGCCGGTACCTCGACCTCCCGTCTTCACTGCCGTGACGCCTTCCGACGTCACCAGCCAACGGATCCTTGCCCCTCCCCCCTCTCTCTCTATCGCCCGCGAACGGGTATTGTCTCACCCCCCCCTACGGGCATACTACCGGCATATTATCCTATCCACCGGGGTATCCCATTATCCCGCGACCTACCCACCAGTCCCCGGGGTCCGATCACGCTCCCGCCGTTCGCTTCCCCACCGTCCGGCATGGCGCTGCTCGGAGGCTGCAGGTTGAAGGTTGAGACATGGATGGAGGCACGGGCGCGGTGGAGAGAGCTGAGAACTGTGACGAATGAGGGAAGGAAGAGGGAGGCCACCGAGAGAGGAAGAGAGGATGGGGTCCAGGACTGAAGGATGCGCGGAGACTGATAACCCCAACTGACGGACCTACCGACCATGCAAGTCGCGGAGATTCCTCTTCCAGCTGGCGCGCAATCGATGGAAGCTTCGTCCTCAAGGTTGAAGAAGACTCGGCGTTGGTGAGTCAGCGAAGATCTCTCTCTCTCTCTCTCTCTCTCTCTCTCTCTCTCTCTCTCTCTCTCTCTCTCTGCAGATCTCTTCGTCTTTCTCTCTCTCTCTCTCCAGATCTCTCCCGTATCTAATTCTGTCTCGTTTTCCTGGTCAGGTTCTTTGTGTGGACGGCCCGGGCCGGGCTGGACCTTCAGGATTTACGGCCCAGTTTGCGGGGGGGGGGGGGGGGGGGGGGGGGGGGGGGGGGGGGGGGGGGTGGCGAGCCTGATCCGGCTTGTTTTTTGGCGCGAGGAAATTAACTCAAGGACCATGAAATTTAACAAATTGTGCTCGTACCCGGAGGAAAAAACTTTCCATTAAGGGCCTGCTTTCTCACTGCGTGCCGGAACGGCGATCGTGCCGAATTCGAATCCGAATCCGGTAACCGGCATCTTCCACCGGGCACGTGTACGGGCCCACGTGGCGCTTATCTGCTCGAAGGAGATAAGATAGGAGGATAAATCCGATGACCATTGAAAGCGAAGGCGTCACGAAATGACGCCGACGGAAACGGCCGATCGACGCCGAATTATTCGAAACCTCCCTGCTTCTTTAAATAAGTGCGTATATACTCTCCACACCCATTCCTCTCTGCCCGGAAAGACCCACTCATCTATTTTTTTCCATCTTTCCTATTTGTGTTCCTCCCATAAAGATAGGTTATGTCAATTATTACTTAATGTAAAAGTCTTTTATAAAAACTAATTTTACATAAGGGTCTGAATGGAAATAACCCCCTCCCCGTTGTGGGCGGGGAGAAATTCTGGGGTCTTCCAGACGCAGGGGAGGGATGGGCGGAAGAGGACGACGACGCAGTTGCAGGGTGGCGGTGGGTCTATAAATCCCCACACCTTCTCCCTCTGTCCTTCGACTGCTAGTCTCTCTTGCTTCCTGCTCCGCTTCTCCTCTTCCTATTTGGCAGTTCTGATCTCATCCGCTCCGCTCCTCCTCTGATTCTGGTCTGTCCTCGAACCTTGATCGGCGCGGTTTCGTTAGGTGGCGAGGATCTCCGTTTCTGCTGCGTCAGCGAGATCATGGAGGCCGAGAAGAAGTCGATCTCCTCTCCTCTGTCTTCGTCCCTCGTTGAGGATGCCTCCGGCGCGACGACTGCACCGAATTCCTCTTCGTCAAGCCTTTTCCGCTCCGTGTTCCCGCCGGCTTCCACGGTACGTTATCTTCTCCCTCCGTCTGTCGTTCGTGTTCTTTTTCGTTTTTTTTGCGAGGAATGCGTTAATGTGTCGTCTCCGATATGCCGGCGGATTGCCATGATTAAATATATCGTCGTTGTTTTTGTCTTCAGTGTCCTTTTCTTTTACGAGTGAGCGGCGGGCTCTGACCATGTTTATAGTTTATACGTTGAATTTCTATGTTATGTTTTCCTGATGATAGTAAATCTTTTTGGTTCCTCGTACATCGGGGCTTTAGTATAAGCGTTCCTATGATAGTTTAACATAGGTTGACTCTTCCGTATATGAGAATTCAATGCCATTCAAATTTCTTTATATTGTCTTGTTCTGTTTTTTGTAGGTGTTAGGAGAGGATTCGTCTAGGCCAGACATCTTCGGCACTTTGAGGAAGCGTGAAGGTGAAAATAAGACTTGATCCTCACAATAAATGCTTCTGCGTGTGTCTGAAGAGGTTTCATCTTGTTACCTGATTAAGGGTTAGATTTTCTGCACGTCGTCTCTTTTGGCAGGTCTGGAGTGTTCCTTGTAGAAGGATTTCTCATGGATCTAGTGGATGATGTGCTATAATCTCTTCCAAGACCTGCCTTTGTCTATTTATTTTAATTGCTCGTAGAAGATGACTCGAAAATCTGCCTCCTTCTGAGGGAAACATTCTTCCGTGGTCCAGTGGTTCTCGCTGTAAATATCTACTTTTAAGATTTATCTTCCCCTTCGGACGCTGATGCTCTCAGACATGATGCTTTATACTTCATAAACAGTCTCTCTCCGATGGGGGTTGCTAAGATTTCTCGCTGTGAAGACTTTTTCAGATTTGGGTCTCGCGAGAAAAAAAATGTCTGAAGGTAGACGGAATTTAACCGTCTAAGAAGGGTTTTTGAAATTCATGCAATCTAAAAACTAAATTCACATCATGGCTTTGTGGGGGTATATTTTCCCTCAGAACGGTGTTGAATCCTTCTTGTTCTTTTTATTTTCATTTAACTGTCAACAGGTCTTTTTTACTTTCATCTCCTATTTGTTAGCCCCCCCCCCCCTTACTATTCTGCAACCACGTGTAAGACATAAGCGGTCGCAGGAATTAGATCGAAGTGATTCTTGGAGTGCATTACCTGATCATGCAGCATTAAGCAAGGTTCCCTGTGCCACTTGTCGTTATCTTTCTTTGGCTTCTAAAATTGCAGCTGCTCAGCTCAGTTCCAGGTCATATAACAAATTTCACGCGGAAGTAATCTAATTTTCTGGCCGTGGTAGACGTTTTAATTCAAATGTCGCTTGGCATATGGTTTCCAGATGGAGCGTCCCAAGAGAGTGGAGGCGGGGTGTTGCCCGCTAAAAAGAAGGCCGAAGAGATTGATGGATGTCTCTTTGGTTCGTCCGTGTACTACGGTGGCAAAGACGATTGCGGTGTTCCGTCGAGCTCACCCGACACCAGATACAGTGTAAGGCATTGTTACCGAGTACATCAGTCAGAGAAGCCACATTTGAATTCCCCCTCATTTAAATCTTGCTCATTTTCATGATCAGTACAAGAAGGATGATGTCGATTCAAGCATTTCAAGCGACGCAACCAGAGGGGAATGGTGGCAAGGTATGTAACGGCGGCGGGTTACGGGAGATGAATCTGCTCCATAAATAAACATTATGAACAGCTCTGAGCTAACAACGTTTGTTCTCCGCAGGCTCGCTGTATTACTAGAGGCCGTGCTCCGCTCTCTCAGAGAGAAGAAGGTACACTGAACTGTGCGACGGTGAAAACAAAATCTCTCTTTACACCGAGCTGCCTGGCAGGGCAGCTCGGCTTCTGATCATTTGAATGTCATATCTGGTGCGACACCGCCCCAAAGAGGAAGAGACGTAAATTTTAACCTCCGTCTTTATTCCCTGGGCCGGGACATTTTTATTTGCAGCTTACTAAGCCCAGGTTTTTGGTCATTCGGAGACTTTTTCTCTCATACCGACGAAAAACTGTGTGTGTATGTGGGATTGAAGGGTTGACCGGAGCGATCAGCTAGTAGACAGGCGTGTGTGCTCTACCTTGCGGAGATTTCTGAGGGATATTCTGATCGCCTTATGAATGGGCGAGCCGGTGACCCAGATGACTGGGGCCGGAGAGTTTTAACGGGGACCTTTCTCACGACGCTGCTGCTCGCAGGTTGCAGGGGCGGCCACCATGCCATGGCGAGGTGGGGGGTCGCGCTGCCAACCAAGCACGCACACGCACTGGCCTCTACGCGCCGTAAGTTTGAGGTTTACTACGGGCTTCAGCTGTCCGGACATGAATAACGTACGACGTACACAATAATATAATTCCAGCTTTTTTCGGCGCCCGGCGTCTCGACCTGGACCCCATCCCATATTCAGTGCCATCATCCCTAGTGCGGTCAATCTCTCTCTCTCTCTCTCTCTCTCTCTCTAAGGCAGGGGTGCTGATGCAGCAGGCCTTATCACATATGCCCAGGTATATATATAGAGAGAGAGAGTGAGAGAGAGACAGGGAGAGAAAAAACTGAGGGTCGTCCAAACATCAGGTCAAGCCCAAGGTTTCAGCTCACGCGAAAAACTCTTCCATCAAGCCCTGCCATCCACATCCGCAATCAACATCAGACGGGCCCCGCTGGCTTTAGATAGATAGAGAGAGAGAGAGAGAGAGAGAGAGAGAGGGTGGTGTGAAAAGGAGGGAGGGAAGTAAAGCGAAGCCCACCTGGGAGATGTACTGCTCGGCGTCGGTGCGGCGGACGGAGTGCACCGAGTTCTTGGTGAGGGAGAAGGAGTGGTCTCCGAGGGAGAGATTGTCGCCGATGTCGTCCAGCACCCTCACCTGGATGTACGGGTCCTTGGGGGGAACCATATCCTGCCCATCCATCCATCCATCCTTAGCACATATACCTTAGTACGTATATATACTATCAGCTGGACACCCAAGGTAGGTGGGAAGGAAGGAAGGAAGGTGTAATACGCACCACCGTCAAGTCGAGATCGAGCTCCGACATGGAGGACTCGATGGCTGCGGAGTGGTTCTTGAAGTATTCCTTCTCCGAGAAGCTGAGCTTCTCCTGAATCTCCTCCGGTAGCTTGGCTCCCACCTTCCACCTCAGGCTCCGAATCACCTCCGCTCGGTTGTACCTGCCAATAGATAACACACCCCACTCCCCTAAGAAAACCAGCCTGCAATACTTCTCCCTCCCACGGAACACTCACACACACACACACACACACACACAGCAAGCAAATCGAGTTCGATGTCGATCGATTTCAAGAAACACGGCCCCATTCTTCGACAACAGCCCAAACTCAACGGCCCAAGAACATTCGTTGTCCACGCCCAGCCCACGCCAAACACAATGAAGAGTCGTCGGCTTACATGTAAGCCATTAGGCAGCGTTTGTTGCGGAGCAGAGAGAGGTGATGTGTGACCGCCCCGAAATGGTCCTCGTTCCTGGCCGTCTGGATGTCCAGCTGCTCGCCTTCCAGCTTCCTTCAGGTCAGGGGATCGCACCAAACTCAGAGAAAGCAATGAACAGAGACCATCGAACGGACTTGTGTGAAGTGGGCCGAGAAAATGCTCGACCACGGCAACAAATGCTCTCTCCGACGATATCAAGGGCAGGACAGGGCTTCCTCACCTGATCAAGGACTGGAGCATCAGATGGTGATTCTCACATTCGGCGATAACCTGGTCGCACGTATCGCTCTGCAGGTTCAGAAGAAGAGACCAAAACGTTGGTCAGAAAACAGTTGACCAGAAGAAACCCCATGCTGATTGCTTGTGGTGGTCACTCGAGACCCTCGTGTCGCCCCTCGTAAAGTAGCGTGTGTGTGCGTGTGCAAATGCTCTACTTCACTAGATAAATGGTCAGAAGAATTGATCCAGAAGTTGTGTGCCGCAGTCAACTAAACGCGGACAAAAAGATGATCTGGTAATCTTCCCAAATCGGAAACGATCACAAGTTCGCAGATATACGTCATGACCGCCGGTCTTCACATCCACCGAGGTTCCATCGCAGTAATGCTTAATGCTGGATACGCCCTACGTTCGTAATCGCTTGGAGAGCATCTTCTGATCTCGGTAAGATCAACGCTAGCGTAGAGAGGGAGGCCGAAGAATTCGATGATAAACGGAGGGTTCGATGGGCTTACATTGAATGCCTGCAGATTGTCGCTATCAGCAATATCAAGTTCTCTCAGCAATTGCGACGCCGTTCGCCCGTACATGTTCGAGTTAAAAAAATTCGAGCAGGCCAGCCGATTTCTCCTGGATGATATTACGCGAGGGGGTCGCGCCAGATGGATCGGGTAATGTCAGCGAAGAACACCAAATCGAAGCAGATAGAAATGGAGGAATGAGTCGCGTCCGGCTAAGGTGAACTCTTCGCAGAGTCTATGGCCCCGGATCATCAAATGAGGAGAAAACACCGGACAGAGATCCAGATGATTCGCGATCGCGACATGCAGAGTGGGAGCCAGATCCCAAGTTCAGGGAAACCAAAGACAGGCCTCTCCTGACGAGCAGGTTGGGGGAAGAAGAGGAAGGAGGAGGAGCCAAGACGTCGCTGCCTTGCCCCAGTCATCCCGGCCCCATCCGCCGTCCATCTCACTCTCCTCGTCAGACGCCTCTCTCATCCCCTCCTCCCTCTCCTAGCCAAAGGACCAAAAATGGTGGACGCCTTTACCTCGGTACGCCGGTGGAGGGTCTACCGTCTCTTTCGGCCGGGATTCCGGCGGTGCCGCCGCCGCAGGGTCGACGACGATGGAGACGGAGAGCGACCGGAAGAGGGCACCGAAAGGGGACAGCCAAGGGCGGCGCGGATCCGCAGATATTTCAAATCAGATGAAAAAAAAATATATATATATGCTAAATTACTTACAAACCGGCATGTTCAGACTTATTGTGGAAGTACCCCCCCCCCTTGTACACGTGTGAGGAGGTTTTCAGGAAAGCCCCTTTTAGTGGGCGTTTTTTGTTTGTCCTCTCTGAAGGGAACGTTTTTGAGGAAATGGACACAGATTTTCCTTTCTGTCCCGAGGCCGACAGGCCCTGTCGGGAACGGCGGTCGCCCGCCGTTAAATCAGACAGCTCACGCCGAAAGGGAGCCGCCTGAGAGATCCGGATGGGGACGCAACTATTCTGCCACGTGGCAATCTGACACGGAATCTTCAGAGACGCCACGTCGCCAGCCAGATTCAGATTCCTCAGTGAAGGGCCCCACCCAAAAGTACGCCGGTTCCAAAGAACTGGGCGTACCTGGGCCGTTGGATGGCAGGAGGCGCTCCAGGGTGGGCCCAGTGGTACAGAATAAGCCGCAAAGCGGTGGAGCGGAAACACCTGCCCCTCTCTCTCTCTCTCTCTCTCTAGAGCGAGCAGAATATTACCCGGTCACCGAGGGCCTGGCTGAAATGGGTTAGTTGGATTGGCGGTTGGCGTTAAGGTTATGGGGCGTTGACTGACTTCTCTCCTGAAGGGGAGATGGAGGGTTTGCGGCATAATTAGTGCACCGAGCCAAGCGGTCAGATCTGATCGAAGGGAACGAGGTCCGGGGAGGAGGGCGTTTTGGTCATTAGAGGCCCTCCCCCCTCTTGGAGTAGATGGAGTGCAGGTGGACGGAAGCACTACGAGCGGGAGAGGAGAGCGAGACGGCGTTTATTAGAAGAGGCCCCTGCGATAGCTCAGGAATTTAGTACCTCCCTCTCTCTCTCTCTCTCTCTCTCTCTCTCTCTCTCTCTCTCTCTCTCTCTCTCTCTCTCTCTCTCTCGCTCTCCCGACTGGTAAGGTACCTTGTAGGGCCACCCGAGGACAAAGGTCGGTGTCTCTCTCCCCGAGAAGAAGCTCGAGAAACTGCTTCCATCCCCCGGCGGTGCCTCCCGTCCCTCCGGTCACCGGAGGGTGGAGCTCCGCGGGCATGGCGGAGGAGTTGAAGGATGCGGGGTTCTGGCTCCCGTCGGGGTTTCTGGCCGACGATTTTCAGAGGGAGGAAGGGGGCGGCGGTGGCGGCGCAGATCCCTGCTTCCCCTCGGAGCTGTCCTCGGAGTGGGGGTGGGGGTACGGCTCCGACCTGAGCTCGCCAGTCGGGTCTGTCGCAACGGCGGAGAGCAGCGACGAGGAGGACTCCCTTGCAGTGCTCTCGCGGGAGCTGTCTCGCGACTTGCTGCTCCAGGACAAGGCGAGGACTCCTCCCCTCCCCGCAGGGAAATCGAGCAAGGTAATCTTTCGGCTTTGTTCCCTTCTCCGGTCGATTTCCGATGGGAGCTCACGGGGACGATAGGGATCTTCGCTGTTGCAGGAAACTTCTGTGGCGATGTGTTTGTCACCGCAGTCAACCCTGTGCGAGGTGTGGAGCTGCAACTCCTCCAACGGAGAGACCTCCAAGGGGCCCTCCCTCGTGTCCTCTCCTCTTTCCTCTTCCCTGGAGCGGCGGCACAGGGAGGAGGAGAGCCCCTGGGATCTGCTCTCCGCTGCGGCCGGGGAGGTCGTCCGGATGGGCCATGGCGGCGCCGACGGGGACGAGAAGTGGGCGTACGGCGGCCGTGGAGTCCTTGGCGCGCCGGCGAAGAAACCCTCCCCCTCCCCCTCCTCTCCGGCCAAGGCCAGCTCCAGGAGCTATTACGTGAACCCATCTTTGACTCCGCCGCCCCATTATAACCTGGTCGGTAAGGTGGGACTCATTCCTCCTCTTGATTTGCAGGAGGTTTCTTTGTTTCTTTGGCAAACTCTGTCGGCTGCTGATCTTCCGGCTGTTCACGTCGTCTGATCTCCCTTGTTTCTCCTCTTCTTTCGTCCTACAGTTCCAGCCCCTGAAGCAGAAACACCAGACGACGACGGCGACGAAGACGAAGATGAGGATGCAAGAGAGCCACCGGTCAAATGGCGACGGCAGCGGGGGAACGGCCGCCGGCCGACCAGGGCCGCAGTGGAGTGCCTCCGGGATGAGGGCCGTGTTTCTCAGTCCCCGCTCGGGGAGGGATTCCTCCGGTACCGGCGTGTTCCTGCCGAGGATGGAGGGCAACGCTGCCGAGCTACGGAAGAAGCCAGGTATGGGGTTTTCTCCTTCTGTCCCATCACATCCACGCCCTTCCTTCTGCTCTGCTTTGCTCTGCTTTGCTCTACTCTGCTCTGCTCTGCTCTGCTTTCTGGGGTGGGTTTTCGATCCCTCCTGATAGCTACCGGCTTTTCCCTCCTGCCTGGACAAGTCGGATCCATCCCCCCTCAACCCACGACGGCGTCTCTTCTTGTCTGTTTCTGCATCTCTTTCTCTCTCTCTCCGCCTTTCTCTGTATGTATGTTCTTCCTCCTGATCATTCTGGGGGGCGCCTGGTAATTACGTCTTCTTCCTCTCCTTATTCTTCTGATTCGTCCCCATCTCGTGTTCCCAGCCTGCTCGACCGTCCTGCTCCCGGCGAGGGTTGTCCGCGCCTTGAACCTCGATCTGAACGAGATCGCGGCCAAGTCCCGCCTTCCCAGCATCTACGTGATCGGCCGCGGTGAGTCCCCATCCCTTCACCACCACCACCGCCGCCGCCGCCGTTTCTTCTTTCCACCATTCACGAAGACGATCGATCTTACTCTCTTCTGGTGGGTTCGTTGGTTGCAGACGCCGCCACCAAGGTAACCGGGGAGAAGGCGGCGGCGGGGATGAAGCAGAAGCAAGCCCCCCTCCGCCGCCCCCGGGCGCTGCCTGCTAACAGCGACCCCCACGGCGATGTGGCCCTGCCGTCGGAGTGGACCTATTAGTTCCCGCCGCCGGCCACCCGCCTCCTCCTCCTCTCTCTAATAACCACCATGATCCAATCCATCCGCCTGCAGCAGAGCAGCGGAGATTGTGACAAGGAGAGACTCGTCGTCGGAGATGAGGTGGATCAGATCCCCGCTTCGTAGTAGATCAGATCAGATCCGATCCTGATCCTCTGATCTCCTTCGTTCTCTGAACAGCACGAAACTCGCCGTGCTCCAAGGAAGAGGGAGTACGACGGCGGGGGCTGGGGGGCATAAAACATTGTCTTGTTCTTTGGGGGTGCTGGTTGTAATAATACCGCCGCGGTACAAGTTAATACCGCTAGTTGTGAAATATTGTCGTTTTCTGCCGTTTTGTCGTTACCTGTCCTGCGTGTGGTGACTGCACACGAAGCGGTCCACGTAGCGCTGACTGGTGTACATGTGGACCCTCGTGAGTCGCCGGTCGCTATGTGGCTGGCCACTTGGACGCCAAGGTGGCAGTCGGCTATCTCCATTCAGGGCCGCCGATCCAGGGGTGAGATATTTGGCGCCGCCGCTTTTATTGGGCCTCATGAGGAATAGGAGCTTCTATTAATTCGTTTCGTATTGATGGGGGCGTGGGGCGGGGGCGAATTTACACCTAAGATAATAATAGGAAATATTCTCCCTCACCCACGGCGCTGGACTTCCGACAGTTGGACCCTCGCCATCGCCATTAATGGAAAGGCGGCGGAACAGGGGCCGCGGGTGACGGCGGATCTGCCCCCACCGGCAACGGTCGACGGAGATCTTCCGAGGGGATGGGGTCGGTTCTCCCGCCACCCTTCGCTTTCAACGTCGGCTGATCTCTCCACATCGTCGATCACACGCCTCCATAACGTTCTTCTCCACGCTTCAATCTCTCTCTCTCTCTCGAGTTCTCGTTGACTTCTCGCGTACCACGAAAGGAGCGTAAGAGAGCAGGGACGCGAGTCACTGCTGACGTAGGTTGCGGGGGGCAAGTTGAGCTAGAAAGCCCACGTGTCTCGGTATGGACCAGGTGGCTCCGTAAGGCCCTGGGATAGCTCATGCGTACCTCATCTAATTCCCAGAAACATCGACTTAAGCTTGAGGAACGGGTTCAGCCCCAGTTTCATACTTTGAATTGAAAGTCATTCATTTCCTTAGGGAAAACGGTACCCCAGCTCATTACTCAGCTTCAGACTTTTAGTCAACTGATGCCACGTGAATTACATAATCACACCCTCAGTCAGAGAGAGAGAGAGGGTTATATTGATAATGGGCCGGGCCTGGCTTTATTGGGTGGATGGGCTTGGCCGAGTGCTAGCACATTATCCGCCAGTAGATCCGGGGTGGATGGGCTTGGACGTCATTCAAGTAGATCCGGGGCTAACTTTGACCGGATTCAAGTAGGAAGGAAATTCTGATAGGTGTCACGTCACCGACACTGCCGCATGCATGGGCATCGAGCGGGGAGCTCATCATTATTGCGCCGCGAGCAGCAAGTAAGCAAGGAGCTCGATCCTGTAGTCCTCATCTTCTCCGCCATCGCCCCACCTAACTTGCCCCGCTCGCCCAGCTCGCCTTAGGAGGAGCTTCTCGCCTTCACGGCCGATTGGCGTTCCGCCGTCCCCTGCGCCGCCGCACCGCTTCGCCCCTCGACGGCGGAAGAGAGACGGCGGCGGCGGCGCGGTGGCGGAGGAGGGACGAGTAGGAGCAGGCGTCGTATAATCTATCCTAGCCCTCCAGCCGTAAACGACCCGCAAATTTGGGAGCTTTTGGTCGGTTCTCCTGGCTCGACCGCCGAAGTCATGGTTTTCCGTATACGAAACGATAGACTGACGATCTTCCTCCCCCTTCTTCCCTGGGCTGTTATTCCTCTCGTACAACGCCAGCACGTTATTCACGGGACCCGCTAGGAAAGATCAACTGCTACAGAGAGAGGGAGAGAAAGAGAGAGGCTTGCTTGGGGAAGGGAAGTGCTTGTCTTGTACTAGGTAAGAATATATTCCCAGCGAGCAGGCGAAGGCCTGCGTCACGTCTCGAGTTCTTTCTTCTAATCTGTCTAAATCCGACTGGGTGATGTCGATGTGACCGAGATTTCCACGGCGAGCAGCGGCCAGTGGAGATCAGTGGGCAACCGATAAAGCGCGCCCCCGTCGCCATCGGGGTCTCCGCATTAGCTTCAATCCATTATTGACGGCGGAGGATTATCTCCTCTCCTTCTCCAAGGAGCGAGCCCTCCGTAGGAACACGGTTTAATGGACGCTGTCGGCTGGGAAAGTGAGTAATCGCCGCCGGAGTCAGCGAGCAGGGGGAGAGCTTGTCCGGTCTGGCCATCATCGTACGGGCGCCTGACTCACTTTCCCTGCCTTGGATTCCCGCAAAGATCATCCCTCTCCCTCTATCTCTCTCTCTCTCTCTCTCTCGCTACGTCTGCTTTAATAGGGCCGCCGCCCGATTCCTTTTGGGGATGGAGAGCATCTTGGCTGGTGTCGGCGCTCTTTCACTTCCCTCTGTTCCTCGGCCAGCCTCTTTAATCACCTTCCTATCAATCACAGCCATCAGCCCACCAACAGACAGAGAGAGAGAAAGAGAGAGAGAGAGAGAGAGGAGATGGGAGGTGGCTAGGCCTAGGGGAGGAACGCGGGGGTGGTGAGGATTCCTCATGTCTCCCCTGATCGTCTTTTCTCCTCCGCAGCGGGGGGGCGGTGGAGCCCTTTGAGGCCCATTAATTTCCCACTGAACAGTCCACGTCCAACAATCTCTCTCTCTCTCTCATCATTCAGCGATTAGCCGTTGGTCGCTGGGATTGTCCCGTTCTGGCTGCTGGGGCGTTGGGGCTCGCGAGTAACGTCACCGAGTCTCTATCGCGACACGCGAGATGATTCCGACCACGTGGCGAGGGACTGGCCTTTCTGAAGAGGGGATGATCGTGATTGATGAGCCCTCAAGGAACAGAAGATGGACGATCAGATGAGTTGTAGCTGGGGCCGGACTTGACAGCTGTCGCTACTGTCCAGTCAATGGACTGCGGTCACTCGTGAACCCGGCTTCTTCTGCCCGAAGCCAACTCATCATCTTCCCCTCCTCTGCGGGCCCCACATCCCCCCTCTCTCGCTTTCTCTCTCTCTCTCCTCTCCTATTTTTCCGGTCGAAGCAGACCAGGCGGTGAGAAACGGAAGATAGAAGAGAGAGAAAACCGCGGCAAAGGCCTCCGCCATTCCTCCCTCCTTCCCTCCCCCGCCATCTCTCTTCCTCTCTATTTCTCTCTCTCTCTCTCGTGCTTATATTTTTCTCCGTTCGTTCGTTCGTTCTCTCCGTTTTTACTTTACAGTACTCGTTATCACCACCTCTGCGACTTTTCCTTACTCCAAGTTGTACCGTGGCTGCGCCTGCATCACCTTGGCTGCAGAGCGGCGGCGTCTGGTCCCCTCCTCAGTTCGGAAGGGAATGTGGGTTTGTTTCTGAGGGGGGAAGGGGGGGAGGGGGGGGTGAGAAGTTGAGCTTTCCTTGCAGGCAAGGCCTCGCCGCCTCTGAACGCGTTTGCTTCCGCTCGAGGAGGAAGGAAAGGAAGGAAGACGGAGCGACGGCGACGTTCTCTTCTCCGGTGGGTGCGTGAGTCCTCGTCTCTTCTGTCTCTTCTTCCCTCCTCCCCGAGAGAAAAAAAGGAACGAGATGCTGCTCCTGTTCTTCAGTTTTCTTCCGTAAAATCTTGTTTTCCTTCGAGATGAAGCATCTCAATCGATGCCCCCCTGGGAAATGCAGCCGGCGGCTTCGGATTTCTTCATTCCGGGAAAAAAAATGCTCGTCTTTCTCGTTTGATTCGCACTCCGGGTCGCCCTGCGATTCCTGCGGCGGAGGACTTGGAGAGCTTTCCCCTTGTCCTGGCAGACGCGGTAGGCCCTCCCACACACTCCATCGGGGAAAGGATAGTTTTATCTCAGAGATGGCTTCCTGGTCGATTAGTCGGCGCACGATTTATTGCTCTCCCATGGTTTCCGGAGAGCCTGCGGAAGTGCCGGCTGCCGTGGAGAAGAACAATGCCCATCCTAGTGTACTTTCGAGCTCCAGACCCTGGAACAGTGCATCTTCTCTCGTCCCAGCGCTGCGCCCGTTGATCTTCCTCCTTGCTTCTTCTCTTCTCTCTGAATCAGCATCAGAGAAGCGCCGCCTGCATTGTTTTCTGATAACCCGCCCTGGCCGCTGACCGTTTTCTCCCCTTTGTCTGCCGTTTTTCAGGGACCTGAGATTAACCTGCGGGGATTGGCCATTGCTTGTTCATGGCGACTCCCCCCCAAGTGATCGTCCATTGGTGAGGGACGACGAGCTTTGTGAAACACCGAGGAGCCGTTCATTAATGGCGCGGCGTGGTGCAGAGGTCAGAGGACAGTGTCCCCTGCATCAAAACCCCAAGCTAACGGAAGAGAAGTTGCTCGCCCCCAGGCTCAGAGGAGCTCCGGCGAGGTCGAGGAGCGTCGTCGCACAGGCCGACCATGGAGGTCCCTCCCTACCGCCACAGGTTCCGGCGAATTACAAGAAGCTTTGGCCGAACAGGACGCCGATGGGATCGGACGAACTCATCAAGCACATGTCCAACGTCCCCTGCTACCTGCAGCGCATGGAGAAGGGGAAGGGGGGTACCCTCCAGGAGAAGGCCCTGAATTTCGGAGTTCTCGACTGGAGGCGGCTCGAGAGATGGACGGACGACCGCAGGCCCGTCCCCGGAGATGGAAAACAGCCTACAGCCTCTCCGGTGACCCCGTCGTGTAGGAACAGCAGCAGCAGCCTCAGCTATCTCACCACCCTGAGGAACCAGCGTCCTTCTCTGAACAGCCGCTGGGATTCTTCTGTTGCAGAGGCTCTCGCGCAGGTGCCACGAGAAGCATCATCTTCCAGGGCCAGGAATGGCGTCGAAGATCGCTCTCCCAATGTTCTATCCAGGGAACGCCCCGTCGGGCATCGCGTCTCCGCTCCAATGAATCAGTGCAAGCTCAGAATTGATCTTGAGGCCAGGGGTGAAGAATTTAGGAGGAAGGTTCCGGGGTTGGAGGACGTCTCTCCAGAAGGGAAAACGTCGGCATCGACATCAAAGAACGGAGAAAGCTCGTCGAGCTTTGTCAGGAATGGGAGGAAGCCCGTCAAGCTAAGGTCCGACGGTGGGGAAGGTGGCAGGAATCTTCTACACGACGGTCAGTCCCAGACCCCACGCCGGTGGCAGTGTGGGCTCAACGATCTGCTTCCGGAGCATCTTGAGGGCGGCGATCTCCATGGTAGCCGGAGATTCAGCTATTCTTCGACGAGAGATCACGCGGCGCCTGCAGAACCTGGTCGAGCGAGCTTTGTTGGCGCATTATCTTCTGAAGATTTCCAGTTCTCCCCTCTCTCTCCGAGCTTCCCGCGTTCATGCCCTCTCAGCGGATGGCCGGACCTGAATTCCCTCGGTTCTGATCTCTGCGAGACGTCTCTCCGACGGGATGGACCGGCCGGACTGAAACCGAATGGCGGGGAGGACACGCCCGCCGTCATGCTCCGCCGGAAGCCCACCGGCGTGAGAAAAAGCCGGTGCTCAAACGGGACAAAAGGATCTGCAAGAAAGCGAGAACGACCCACCGGCTACCAGTCCATCGCCGGCCTGAGTAGATGCTCCAGTTTGAGGGAGATGTCGCCGTCATTACACTACCAGCACGGCGGAGATGGAGAAACTGAGACCAACAGATTGAGGCGGAGCAGCCCCCTGAGAAGGCTTCTTGATCCGTTTCTAAAGTTAAAGGCATCGTCCGAGCGGCGCCAAGCATCCGGGACGGCTCCAGCCTCGCCGAGGTTACCCTCCCCAGGCTGGAAGCTTTCCACCCTCAAAGAACCAGGACTTCTCTCAGAGCGGAGACCACCCAGTTCGGTCGGTAGGATCTCGAGCTCCTCTGATGGCGATTCTATGAAGGGGCGGCGCTCTCCCTCAAGCGGGTTGCCTGCTGCGGATGGTGAAGATTCGATACGCGAGGTATCCCGCAGGCAAGCTCTTCTGCGAGTCTCTTGGAAAGACGGCGTGCCCCTGTTCACGTTCTCGGTCAACGAGAACGAGATCCTCGCGGCGACGAGGAAGAAGAAGGGGGGATCCGGCAAGGAAGGCTGCGAGTGCGTCTACACATTCTACTACGTTACGGAAGCTAGACAGAAGATCAGGGGATGGATGAAACAGGGGAACAGGGGCAAGAAGGAGCTCATCTCCAATGTCGTCGGCCAGATGAACGTCTCTTCCGTTCGATCCCCCGAAGATCGCCGCGACGCTGTGAGGGAGTTCGTCCTCTTTGGTCCGGAGCTGTGGCCCACCTTCCACGAGACCTGGGATCATCCTGTCCCGAACTCTGAACTGGCAGCAGTCGTTCTGAGCGGCGCCCCATTAGAAGCCGCAGAGAGCTACAGCGCCTTCAACCCGAACAGCCATGACGATGGCAGCGGAGATCCATCGGCGACGAAGCTCGAAGCGCGTAAGCAGCGGGTTCGAGAGATGGTGGCCATACTCCCGAGCGAAGTTCATGGTTTGTCGGACACCGGAAAACCGGCGACCCTCGTTGAACGGTGGCGGTCCGGAGGGAGGTGCGACTGTGGAGGATGGGATGCCGGCTGCGCTCTAACTATTCTGAAAGCCAAAGCCGGCGACAGCCGTCTTCGGGATGATGTAGATGGCACCCATCGGGTCGAGCTGTTCATTCAGGTTCTGCTCAATCACCCCCTTCGGAGATTTATCATCACAAATTTAGCAAGTTTCATTGGTTGTTTATGGAATAAGGATCCGTGAAAGAGGAACTTATGGATGACCATCATATTCTTTCAGGGAGGAGGCCGAGACGGCCGACCCTTCTTCAGCCTGGTCAGCTTCAAGGAGGGGCTCTACAGAGTCGACTTCGATTCCTCCATCGCCGTCGTGCAGGCGTTCGCTGTCTGCGTGTCAATGCTTCACGGGAGGAAGCGGGGCGGTCTCCACGAGTTGCTGAACTCGAGGCTGTGCTCACCGGCGGTGGGTTTTCCCGTGAGAACCGCTGCCGTTGCCGGCGGTGCCCCCATGTCGGCGCCGTACCGTCCCCCGCTTTCGCCCGTCGGGAGGGCCTAGACATGGATGCTGGAGGTGGAGGAGGTATCGCCGGCCGGCAAACCTGAGTGCCGGAGCTCCGACAGAGCAGCTGTGCTTCCCGACAACCTGGATAACACCTCCATGGCGTCGTATCTCCGCAAGGAATACCTTGGAGATCGATATCTCCGTTGTAGGAGGAGGCTCTGTGACTAGCACCACCTGTTGGTAGATCGAATAAATTCCTGCTACATGTCTCAAGCTGGTGTTTTTGGGCCTCACCCAGGAAGGTTGGGCTGGGCCAGAGGGGGCTTCAGGGAGCGGGAGAGGGTCAACCTCGTTCCCACCACAGAACCACATATAATTTAGTATACGAGATGAAGATCCTTTTTCCCTTTTTCCCTTTTTTTTATAGATATATTTCACGCTTCGTCAACGTTAGTTAGAGCTCAAATTATTATTCAATTAGCCCGCGTTTTGGATTTTCTCAACAAATTCGGAGTCCTTCGTCCCCAGCGGCAAGCAATCCACATTGAAAAGGAGGTGCCGTGTTAGGTGATCGATGGATGATAATGCCCAAAGTCAAGGGCTAGAAAAAAAGTGAAATTCGGGTTCCACCGTGATTGCGGAATTTCAAAGGGTGTCCGATTTCAGGGAGTTCTTCGCTCTCAAGCTCTGGACGAAGACAGTTTTTGTCGACATGAATTGTCAACCGATTTACGTGTTTGTAGACGTTGACATCAGAACACAGCTGGATGAGGTGAGACCACACAGGAGAGGCGGATAGGGTTTGGTGGCGTTGAAGTCTAACCTCGGGCTGAGCTTCTGGCAGGCCAGCTTATTGCGGCGAGCCCGATATCTTTGCTCTCCAGGATGATCCCTTGTCGAATTCGCTGCCACCTCGGCGCAGACCTGTTCATATGGTTGACTATCCGAGTCTCAGATGTCGATCTCTCAAAGTTACTTCGTATTTCTAAGATGAGGGTAATCGTCCCGGAAAATCCCTCGTAGAAACACAAAATTACCGGAAAGTCCTAGCCTATGATTAAACGTCCCGGAATGTTGCACTTGTGATCCGCTTTCTCACATGTGCATGGCCGCCCATCGTTTCCTGTTCTTTCGAGGCCCCAAATGACAGGCACAGTTTTGACATGGACAGACGGGTGCAGATGACCAACTGCAGTCGCCTCTCCGGCTTCTCATTTTCTTATGTGAAATGGTCAGCATACGCGGAGTGCCTGCGTCATTCCTCACAGCTACGGGGATGGGTAGGCTTTCAACGCTGGAAGGACAAGCCGGAGGGAGCATGCATGCTTATAAACTCGGAGGGAGTCACTAACCATTTCTCTTCTATCACCATTCGTCTCGGGCAACCGCTTGCCCCCCAAGGCAGGCTCCACCATCTTTTCTTCCATCATGGAGCGGGCCATCCTTCTGGTGGCCTTCGTCGCTCTTGGCTTCCTCGCCGTCTCGGCTCGCGGCGAGGTCGTCGAGCACACCTTCCGGGTAAGCGCCATGCACAGGCTCCTCGTCCTCTTTCCCTTCCATTCTCTCTGTCGATCGACTCGACGGACCGAGGCTCCGTGCTAAAGCTCGCGATCATCCCGACACCACGTAGTTAAGCCTTTTCGCTCAGCAGATAATGCGGTTCCTTGGATCACGAGCGATCTCAATCGCCTACAGAGCTGCTTATCTTCCCGACAAACAACCATGTAGAGCTTCGTGTAGAGCCCTAAGAGCTGGTTGTCGTCGATTAGGGTGATCTCTTCGAGTCTCTACTTGGGTAGCCTTCGAGTTCTAGGCTGACATCTCCAGGAAGAATATGCACGCCCATGGCGCGTCTTAAGTCTTCATTCTACGTGATGCTGTCCTTATCAGTCGGTACACATACGACCCAGCAAACATACGACCCGGCTGGCCACTTTACCGAACCCGCAGGGTTTCTCTTATTTATTATCCCCTCTGTCGAGTTTGCTCCGTCAAACCGTTTCCTTCGCTTTGGTGTTCGCTCAGGTTGGAAACCTAACGATCCGCAAGCTGTGCCAAGAGAGGACGGTGGTGGCTGTCAATGGTCACTTTCCCGGGCCCTCCATCACAGCCCATGAAGGCGACTCCGTCGTCGTTCACGTTATCAACGGCTCCCCATACAACATCACCCTCCACTGGTATGAAACATCATCATCCTCCATCTACCGGCAATTTAAAGTCAAATACGGTATCGTTGGGGGGCGGGGGAGGGGGGACTTTGCTGACGGAATCTGTGGCTCAGGCACGGCATATTCCAGCTGCTGACAGCGTGGGCGGACGGACCGGGATACGTGACCCAGTGCCCCATCCCCCCCGGGGGCCGCTACACATACAGCTTCAACATCATCGGCCAGGAGGGCACCCTGTGGTGGCACGCCCACTCCTCCTACCTCCGCGCTACCGTCTACGGGTCGTTCACCATCTACCCTCGCGCCGGGCCCGGCGCCTACCCCTTCCCCAAGCCCTACAGAGAAGTACCTCTCCTTCTCGGTAAGTGACGACGTCGATCGAACTTTGATCCTCATTCTCCTCACTTTAAACACGGAAAACATTGAAATCACGTTATTTCTCTTCGTGTGTTTTTTATGACCTTCGATTAAAGCCCGTCGCTTGTTGACAAATCTGTTCAAAACCCGAAAATTAGCAGATCATCCCCCATTTGACCAATCAACCATACGCGGGCACAGGGAGATTAAGGCGACGTGATTGATAATACACTGTTTATTGTTTTTTCCGTGAGTTGTGACTTCGATGTGTTGGGCAGGCGAGTGGTGGAACGCCAACGTCGTCGATGTCGAGGAGGAATCTCTCTCCACCGGCGGAGCGCCAAACATCTCCGATGCCTTCACTATTAACGGGAGGCCGGGAGATTTGTACCCTTGCTCTCGGGACCGTGAGTAAAATTACCCTCCATTCGCCAATAATAACTTTCAATTTACCATGCTTAGTATAGAAGTAACCATCATCAATGTAACTAAAATACGGTCCCATGCATCTTGTTTGGCCAGAAACTTTCAAGCTCAGGGTGGTGCACGGGAAGACCTACTTGCTGAGGATCGTCAACGCTGCACTCAATCAGGAGCTCTTCTTCATGGTGGCCGGCCACAGCCTCACGGTGGTCGCCATAGACGCCAGTTACACCGTGCCGTACCCCACCGACGTGGTGGTGATTGCCCCTGGACAGACCGTGGACGCTCTCCTCGACGCCACTGCCGCCCCGGGCCGGTACTATATGGCGGCGCATACCTACGCCAGCGTCGCCGGCGTACCCTTCCCCAATACCACCACAACCGGCATATTATACTATGAGTCCTCGCCGCCGTCGTCTTCTCCGCCGATCATGCCGGCCCTCCCTGCCTTCAACGACACCCCCACCGCTCACAAGTTCTACACCAATCTGTCGGCGCTCCTGCGCCCGTGTGACCCCCAAGTCCCCCTCGCCGTCGACGAGGAGATGTTCATTACATTTGGGCTGGGCCTGGTTCCCTGCGACAGGAAGAACAGCACATGTGCCGGTCCCTTCGGAGAGAAGTTTGCGGCCTCCATGAGCAACAACTCCTTCCAACTCCCCACTGAGCTGTCTCTGCTTCAGGCCCACTTCTTCAAGGTGCCCGGCGTTTTCACGCTGGACTTCCCCGACCGGCCGCCGGTAGTCTTCAACTATACGAGCCCCAACGTCACCCTCGACGTGGGGCTGCTGCAGACGGTGAAGCAGACGAGGGGAAAAAGGTTCAAGTACAACTCCACGGTGGAGGTGGTGCTGCAGAACACGGCACTGCTCGGCACGGAGAACCACCCCATACACCTACACGGGTTCAACTTCTTCGTCTTGGCGCAGGGGTTCGGCAATTACAACCCCACCGTCGCCAAGAGGAGCTTCAACCTGGTCCATCCTCAGGTGCGGAATACCATAGCGGTGCCCGCCGGCGGCTGGGCCGTCATCCGTTTCGTTGCTAATAACCCTGGTGAGGATACATATTCCAAAACTTTGAGTTATAGCCCGCGAAGATCATTATTTTTCCAAGTTCCGACTCTCTTATCTCCTCCCAGTTACCGATAGTCGAAAACGGGTTTCTTTCGTTCCTTGGTATCGCTGACAGTTTGTGGCCTGGAACCGCAGGTGTCTGGTTCATGCACTGTCACATAGACGCCCACATGCCCTGGGGCCTTGGGTTGGTTTTCGTGGTGGAAGACGGGCCCACCCCATCGTCGAAGCTCCCCCCGCCGCCCGCCGACCTCCCCCGCTGCTAAGATGGGATTCTGACCAGGAAGAAGAAGTCGAAGATATTCCGTCTGCCTGTTTTTAGTCCGCGGTGGATTACATCCTCTCCTAAAGTTCTACTTTGTGAATTTTCTCTCACTCTTCCTTTCTTTTCCCCATATGTTCAAGAATTATCGCAAGGTGTGGTATGAGGAATAATTCAATTTATCAGTCCAAATTGTCCCCAATCGCATCAATAACAATGCTGAAATAATTATATGCATAGACTTATCTTAAGATCTACACTCTCTCACTTAACATTATCATCCTACTTATTCATCAAAAATAAGAGACAAGCTGTAATTTTCTGCTAAATCTTAACTATTGAAAAGTATTGACATATTAATGTTATAGTTAATTATCACGGCGATAACTCCCCACCACCTATAATTGTTCTCACTTAATATTATAATCGTAGATTATTCATTGCACCGTTTGACGCACCACCATCATTTGTCTCAACCCTGCTAGTGCTTTCCGAGACGCTTGTTATCGCCAATCGTAATCATCCTCGTTGACGATTATCCTCGTCATCATATCCCCAGCAATGACTAACAGAGCCTTATACTCTCCCTCTAACAGCATACTATTGGAACTGGTGAATGAGGGCCAGCGTTACGTTTACCATCATGATCGTTTAATTTGGCCTTAGTTATTCCCGGTAAACCGAAAATTCAGTCTCACCTTCCATCCGGAGTTTTCTCAAGTAAATGCAGCAAGTGGAGGACCCTCAGAGTTAGTTTGCCTGATGGACGACAGCCCATTCGAAGTGGAGGCCAGCCCAGCCTGAAGTGTCTTGTTATTGATTGCATTGATTGAACACGCGTCGGAAGGTGCTGGCGGGGGAGCTCCTCCTACTGCACCACCTTTGGTCTGGGAAGAGTACGAGCTTAGGCTGTCCTCACTATAAAACCGTCTGATAGAGCTTCATTGGGCATGTGAGATGGGACCAGTCATTTAAGTTTTAGCCCGCTGGCCTAGCTCGTTGCTACGAATGGTATCCAAGGATGGATGGCTAGCCACCCCAACCTGTTCGATGGTGTGTCTGAAGAAGATTTCCACACACACCATCCCCCGGTCAAAATAACCGGAAAATATGGCTTGGTGCTGATCATGCATGCCTGGCATAATCAGAACATCTCACATCATTGAATTATGTTTTTTACGTGAACTATCATGGTTCCGGACTGCGAGATGATTAGCACCAAGCATCAGCTCGGTTTAGAGTGAGGAAGAACGAGGATAATTGACCATGGAACTATCCAACCCGCGGCCCACGAATAGATCGACCGAATCGGCTCCTAGAAGATGTAATTGGCAGAAGCTGCAGGAAGCGGTTCCAGATAGAACTATTTAAGAAGGTGAGAGAAAGACAAGGGCACTCGTGAGATATGATTTCCTTCGCTCATTACTCTAACGCTTTGAATTGATGGTCGGTGGAGTATCTGAATGTTCTCGGTTCCTGGAAGGCAGCAAGCACGTGCTTTAATTTACAAAAAAGTAAATGAAGAATGCAAATAAGCGTCTGGTTTAAAAGTTAAGAGGTCTTTGAGCGCAACTAAGTGTGAGCTGTTCGTATTCTCTCTGAGTTTGGGCAAAACGAGCTCAAATATTATGTACAACATAGATATTTTACTGAACACAAATATCATGCGTGACACGTTTCATAGCAGTTGACGTCTTAAATAACTCACAGATGCCATAAATTATGATATCATGAGCTTGTCCCCGACGCCCCCTTCAATGTACCACCTAACACATGGATCTTACGATTCAAAGCGGAAGGGAGACGGGAGATGACTTAGAGAGTCTAAGAGTGGAGCTCGTGAATAGCCCGTCTGACGACAAGTTCTGAAGATGAAGCAGATCTGAGGATGGGTCTCCATACCGCCTTCTTACTCAATCCGTAGGGAGAAACCTAAGGAGAGTCATGGACTTGATCACAAGCATGTGAGGTTGGCAAGACCACAGGTCCTAAGCACAGCGTGGGGAGATCCACCCACACCCCTTCTCCTCGTGAAGAGGCAAATTTGGTAAATATGGGGGGATGGGGTGGGGGAAAGAAAGAGGGCTGCCGCCGGTGCGAATGGCGGCTGTTTTTTCTTTCTTGGGGGGGCTTGTGGGGGGGGCGCGGGAGTGGGATTCAATGAGCGCAGACTGAATCACAGCAAGTCCCTAGTGCTCTACTTGTTGGGAGGCACAGGCGGAAAGGGATCCCACAACCCTCTCAGGCAGTGAGGAACAGATGCCTCACAGCCGCATCGCCACCGGTGATGGGCCGAACCAGTTCAGTTGTTCTATGAATCGACGCCTCGGCCACTACCATACCCCCGAAACCCCCACTTCATCGGACCTAAGCATCGGAGTATTTTCTCCCCCCTCTAGGAAGAATCCGACGTAATTTATGCCTAGTCCTGTCCAACTAGAAATTACTATCTATCGATTCCGGAATGGACTACGCTATCCCTTTCAGTAAACTTACACGTATCAAAGCAGGGCATTATCGTCGATTACGGTATAACGGAGATATTCCAAAAAAATAGCTGAAATGAGAAGCGAGAGCATGAGATCACCGTTCTAAGTTACTGCCTATATATTTAAATAATGATGAAAAACACTGTTCACGGTCGATAAAATAAAACTAAGGAATATGAGCCTTTTCTCCTTGATCACTTCGCGCACTAGGTGCTCTGGTGAGACGGAGGAAAGCTCATTTACAATCTCACGAGACGAAAGAAATACCCGACATTGGAAAGAATTGAGCATTAAAAGCATCGACTGCTCACCATATCAATCGAGGATGGAGCCCATCACAAAAGGCGTGCGTACTGTAGGGACAGAGCCCTCATGAGATGAAAGTAGACCAAGGATGGAGATAATAACGGCAATAGTGTCGTTAACATTAAGATATAGTTTGGACGCAGAAAGGGAGAGTCACATGCTAGAAAAATCTATCTAGCTCCTGACTAGGAGAGGCTCTTGGAGATGATTACCCTAACTTGGAGTCATGTGATTGGACTGTAAATTATATTAGAATCTTAGTCTTGGTTTTCAGGAACACTTATCTATGGCTCTCATTGTCTGGGTTTGCCGGAAAGCTCTGCGCCGTAATCCTACACAGGAAACTCGCGGCAGGTGGCTTATGGTTAAGGCTTTCTTGGCGATCGTGAGGATAAATATAAAACTCTGTTGACAAACATACATAATGCAGATAATAGATGAGGGTTAAGTCCCACCTGTCGACATCATCCATTACAAGCAAAGTGGGGTGCTGACTTGTGATAAAGAGACAGCTGGAGACCCACACATCAGACAGAGTCTTCCCATTGGCTAAAGTTAGCGGCGAGCCCGGCATTGAAGGCTTACATTCCTTGAAAGCTAATCAACGGGGTTTCTATATGGCCAAGGCCAAGGAGGAGGAAGGACTGAGGAGACTAGAAGGGGTAGGAGGGCGTTCTCTTTGCTTCTTTGGGAGGAGCGTCGTACTCCACTCCACTGTTCATCTAAGGCGATGGGTGAGTAAGAGGGACGGAGGAGTGAGGGAGAGGATGAAGAGCTAGAGAGGGTTTGAGACACGCTCGTGCTGGTGGATCAAGGAAGCATCCAAAGGGATCGCATTGATCCCTCCCCTTAACCATGATTGGATGAATGGATCGTGCGATCCCTTTGGATCTTTCCTTCTGTCACTTTTTTCTCGAACGGGCTGGAGATGCAGGAAGCCACCGCCTCAACGTGGAGGCGCAACTGGAGAGAGAGCTCGTGAGATCCGGCTGCGTCCTCGGTAAGCCATCGCCTCATAATACATCTCGCTCTTCAGATGGGCTGGTACAGTTGCGACGAGGCATCTTTGATAATTCTCATCAAAATTGGAGAGGAAAAGGAGAATTACGGGTTTTTGACATGCTTTCCGCCACCGCATTCCTTTCCGAACCTCTCTCTCTCTATATATATATATATACACATATCCTTATATATGCCTAAAATCCAGCGACGTTTACACTGGATCTGTACATAACCTCTCCTTCCTTGTAGCCGGATTATGTGAAAATGAGCGAGTTTTCTGATGAATTTACACATTAGGGAATCCAAAAATTGAACCGTATCTATTTCTCTTATTTCCCTGACTGATAATTAGCTATTGATCGGTTTCTAGTTGCAAGAAACAACCTCGCTTTCTTGTTTGATATCATGGGCCCATTTTACTGCTTCATCCAGTCTGCTCGTACACCTTCTTTAGTTCTTACTTGCCGGTTTCATGTTACTTTCAATGATCCCACTTACGACGAAACTTGGAATAAGATCACCAAGCTCTGGTCACCCGAAGCAGAGCCGTCATTGGGTCTCTTCTTATCGTCAGCTTGGGGAGACGGACCCTCTGCAGCTGCGTCATTTGGCTCACTTCATAGATCGTCAATCTTTTTGAAGAAGATAGCCGCTTCCACTGTATTAACCATCGCGTTGCTGTAGTCCTCGTCATGGGATTGAGTCATTGGATAGCTGTCTCATTAATGGCGATGGTTATTGCTGCCATTGGGGTTGTTGGGCTTCGTTAATGGTCTGTCCTTGGGTGATGTTCCAGGATATCTTTCCAAAGTTGCACGAGGAAAATACGCATAAGTTGATAGTATCTGAACGAGGAGTTTTCAAGAGTGAAGATAGTCTGGATCGGTAGACAGCGGCATGTGTTATCCGTTTCCGAGTTCCAAAGTGAATCGTCCCTTAAAACGAGGACATGTGAGACGATAAGACACAAAAGTTGTAGTACAGTCTCCTACCGACTCTAGGTTTGTAGGATTTCAGACTTCAGCTAGTGTTTGACTGGAAGCGAAGTCCGCACACGCGGAATTTGAGAATCGGCGGTTCCCCATGCACGGTGTTCAGTCGAGTTCTCATAATTTGTGCCGTCTTTCTTCATGCGGATCTTTCAAATGCGAGTTCAGACCAAATTGTTGACTGTTCTGTGGAAGGAGATCTCTGATCACGGAACGAGAGGAAAGCGAAGCCTTTGAGAACATGGAAGAAGATAAGAATACATATGCCACGGTGCAGAAGAGAAGGGAGCTTGAAAAACTCTCACGTTTTATTGATCATATTAGATATGAGAGAGTGACGGGCAATGCCACAGAAGATGATCGACCTTCGAGCCAGTAATGGGTAAATCATGGAAAGAAAAATAAGCTGCATCATCTCTTGATGAGATTTTCGTACTCTATGTTCTCTAGTTTCGTTATACGATCAGTGTCACCGGCTATCCACGGTGTATCGTGAGATGTGATCATCCGCCGTACGACAATGCGGTCAATAATCTCTTGATGCCGTTATTTTGTAGGCTATTTTCTTCCTTTTGAGTGATCGAAGGGGTCTTATCTATGATCCATGCTCGCATTCCGTAGATTGCCTTCGCCTCACCCATTCTTCTCCGTATGCATCACTACTACAGTCGCTTTACATAAGATTCGGTCCTCAGGGTAGGTCTTCGCCGCGTACGGCACGTCAGAGCCTAAGCCGGACCAGGGCCTGTTCCTCTCCGCCGACACCGATTTGCCCCCACCACCTACCGTCCTCGACAGCCCCCCTTCTCTCTTTCCATTTGAGACGCGAGGGACACTCCGATCACCAGCTAGAAGTAGTGTTTTAAGGAAATCATAGGCGTCTTATACCCAGTCGCTGGCTGGTGACTCAAGCGAGAGTAGCCCGCATCTTACTTTACGAATCCCTCCCTGCCGGATCCCGATTTGGCTTTGCATTGCCGCCGACGCCACCGTCAGCGGATATGTAGATGAACCGGCACTGTTTAGTCGGAATTTCATGGTATCCATGCCTCCCCTGTTGCAACACGAGGTGCCATCGCATCCCATCTTTTCTGTGATTCTTTTCCGCCGTCAACTAGAATCCCGGATCCTCACTGTTCTTCGTCCTCATGCGCGGTAACTCGTCCTCCGCGGCGTCCACTTTCATGCCCACATCCCGCTGTCTCACCCCATCCGGAGGCAAACAGGATATAGGAATATATTTATGCATCCATTCTACTGCTATTAACTTTAACGTGACCGACGTAAGATTTAGCCTCTGTACCATCAAGAAGTAGTACTTTGATCCGCATGTTTCCCTTCATGTTTCCGACGTAAGATTTAGCACTTTCCCTTCATATTTCCGGTTGTTCTTACAGTGTCAGATGCGTTAATCAGAGATGATCATCTCTGGTTACTAAAAATTATTGAGCTTTGCCTCGCCACAGGGGAACTATACGCTCTAAAAGATGCACACTATATGTCAAAAAACTAGGGAAAACAATGCTGAACCCTCTGCGTGTGTGTGTATGTGGACCATCAGCTTCCTTCCCTATCCCAGCCTAATGAACCCTAAACCTCTATACCAAGTATGTGGTGCGTGAACCGAGGCTCGCTCACAAGTGTGTGAGAGTGTCCAGCGTCCGCGGCCTAGAGAGCATAATGGGCCCAAGCAGCCCATAATAGGGCCCCTCTGCATCCGAGCCTGATCTTCATAGAGGTCCAGCTCGAACTCGCCCCCTTCCTCCATCCGGCCCTTACCGAGACCAGTTCTATGGGCTGTCGGCTCGCGACGGCAGGCAGGCAGGGTGAGCAGAGAGGGCAGTCGAACCATTAAGATGGAGTGAAGGCTTGAAGATCGGCGGAGGAGCCGCCGGGAGGGGTCTTCTTCCTCCCTTTATTAATTGTCGCTGCCCTCGATCGCAGTAAATCGGGTAGGCTTTTTCCTGTTTGTTTCCACCATTCATTGCCACCTGCCGAGATGGAATTTTCACTTCTGCTGGGGAAACGAGATTTCTCTTGTTAATACAGGGGTTTTCTCCACGCTAGCGGAGGATTTAATCTTCTCAGCGCATGGCCATAATATTTTGGCTCATCCCTGAACCGTGGGGCAGGAGGAGATCTCCAGGATGCGCTTGTCTCTGGCTCAACCCGCGAGTTTCTGTTGAATGAATGCTCCAAGGGTTTCATCTCATCCAAGGAAACCTGGCCCAATCCGTGAATCTTTCATCGAGCCCCGCCTACCCCTGCGTTGATGGAATATGGTTTGAAACAGCTCGCCGCTTCAGGTTTCCGTTTGATTATGTTTCCTTCGCCCCCCTTCTTCGTATGACGATCGTCGTGATGTTTCGTCCTTCCTCTCGAAATGCCCTCAACTTCTTCATCAATATCCACGAGTTCCAGTGAGTGAATTTCTTAACCGCAGCTTAGTTTAATCCCCGCTATGCGCACAAATTGTCCGGACTATTCCGATGCAGGCTGTGAAACATGTATAAGTCATATGAACAAGCAAAGTCGGCGACTTTATCTTCGTCTGAGGAAGATCATTGGGCAGTTTGGTTTAGTCTGCATAAGTTCACCGCATTCAGATGGGTCCCCTTGGTCAACTTTCGTGGGGTTCTACCTCTTCTTTTGGAGAACTGTCGCTGTACCCCATTTCTGAGAGCTACTTCGGAAGAAAATTCTCACGAAGAGACGACGGCTGGCTGTAATGCTGAGGAAGATGGAAGGCGGATCGGATCACCGTAAGTGTGGTTAACCGAGCACTGTCTCTGATAAACGGCAACCACAGGGTGTCCTGCAAGAGAGCCACCCATGCAAGGATAAGCCTTGGGGGCCCTCCCGGTAAGAAGAGTGCGCGCCTTACGTTTCCCGGCCCTCCGCTATCCACCAAGACTTCATCATCTCCCCCGACCAACCAGAGGGGGAAGCCCACGGAGTTCCGAATCCTCACACCGTCGGCGGAGAGGATCAGAACCACCAACGGGCGATCGTTCATGGCCGCCACCGCCGCTGCCACCGTCCCCATGTCGTCCTCTCAGCTCCTCATCTGCGGCGGCAGCTCTCGCTCCGCGGCGGCGCGCCAGTCGCCGTTCGTCGTGCACGTCGCCGGACGCCGGCAGCAGGGGATCTCCTGGCCCGGCGGCAAGGATGGATGGTGCTCGACGTCGCTAGCAGCGAGAGGCGTCGTGCGGTGCGCCGCCGTGGGGACGGAGGCGGCGGCGGAGGCGAAGAAGAAGAGTAGCTACGAGATTCAGACGCTGACCGGGTGGCTTCTGAAGCAGGAGCAGGCGGGGACCATCGACGCCGAGCTCACCATCGTGCTGTCGAGCATCTCCATGGCGTGCAAGCAGATCGCTTCTCTCGTGCAGCGGGCCGGCATCTCCAACCTCACCGGTGTCCAAGGCGCCGTCAACATTCAGGGCGAGGACCAGAAGAAGCTCGACGTGGTCTCCAATGAGGTCAACCCCACCTTCCCTCCTCTCCTCTCCTCTCCTCTCCTTAAAACATACCACTAAACCTTCTTCACTGAACATGGGAGGGCGGGATAAATTCCGGGAGCGATGGACGGTGATTCATGAAGACACAGGACAGGCGTTGACTTCGTCACTTGTCGTCGTTTGCAGGTGTTCACAAACTGCTTGAAATCGAGCGGCCGCACGGGTATCATTGCCTCGGAGGAGGAGGACGTCCCCGTGGCCGTGGAGGAGAGCTACTCCGGGAACTACATCGTCGTCTTCGACCCCCTCGACGGCTCCTCCAATATCGACGCCGCTGTCTCCACCGGCTCCATCTTCGGAATCTACAGCCCCAACGATGAGTGCCTCGCCGACATAAGCGACGAGTCCACCGTAAGTCAAACGAAACCCATCTGCCGCCGAAGAGGAGGTGGATGACCCACTGACCCTCCCTCTGGTCCTCCACGCGCGCAGCTGGACGACGTGCAGCAACGGTGCATTGTCAACGTCTGCCAGCCCGGGAGCAACCTCCTGGCGGCGGGCTACTGCATGTACTCGAGCTCGATCATCTTCGTGGTGACGCTGGGCAACGGGGTCTTCGTCTTCACACTGGACCCAATGTACGGGGAGTTCGTTCTGACGCAGGAGAACCTGCAGATCCCCAAGGCGGGGAAGATCTACGCCTTCAACGAGGGGAACTACTTGTTGTGGGACGATAAGCTGAGGGCCTACATGGACTCGCTCAAGGAGCCCGGCCCCTCCGGGAAGCCCTACTCGGCGCGGTACATCGGCAGCCTCGTCGGCGACTTCCACCGCACGCTGCTCTACGGCGGCATCTACGGCTACCCGCGTGACAAGAAGAGCAAGAACGGCAAGCTCAGGCTGCTCTACGAGTGCGCCCCCATGAGCTTCATCGTCGAACAGGCCGGCGGCAAGGGCTCGGACGGCCACCAGCGAGTCCTCGACATCATGCCCACCGAGGTACCTACCATTCATTCACACGCATATATTTATCTATATATGTCAAACGTGGAATCAGAGAGAGATCACACCGGCATTTCTTGCTTCATGAGCTTCATCGTCGAACAGGCCGGCGGCAAGGGCTCGGACGGCCACCAGATCGACATCAGCCCACCGGGTTCATATATTTATCTATATATGTCAAACGTGGAATTCACACAGACATCGCTTCTATTTCCCTCTGCAGATACATCAGCGGGTTCCGTCGGGAGCGTGGAGGAGGTCGAGAAACTGGAGAAGTTTTTGGCTTGAAGCTCATCTCTCGACAGTCCGGAGGGAGAGGTTCTGAGGGAAACTGGAGTATTTAAGCTGTACATTCCCACATAACCCGTCAAAGCATCCAGGCACGTCTGTTCCTCTTGACGATCCATCTCTTTCCCCCCAGCTTCACTTCCTGTTTATCTTTAGATTCATCCAGCCAGAGAGCCTGATTCCGCATACAATCTCCACGAGGGTCCGAAGGGGCCCGAACAAGCCACGAGTACATCAGACCTTCAGACGACGCAATGCTACAAAGCAATGAGATGTGAAAGACGCTAAAACACACTCCATTCCATTCCCTCTTACCCTGGTTCAGCGAGTCCTAGGATCCCCACGGGAATATAATTTGCATTCAATGAGAGAAGGGACGAGTGTACAGTCGCTACATACACAGGAATGCAGGCCGTTCGTGTTAATTCCATCGGCGAGCTAGCCGATATCAACAGAAGATCAGCCATGGGCCGTCTGCAGCTCCACTTGCTCCAGGCAGGAATTGCTTCCATCTTTGGCTGGAAACCAAGTCGTAGGAACTAAGATCTTTAACATTCTCGTCCCAAACACAAAAGTAGAGAGAGAATGTTCAACGCTAGGTAGGCACAGTGAGTTCACCAGGACCCGAGAGTTTGATGCGCTTCGTGATGCCATTTATAAAAGTCACTGGGCCATCACCTGCGCCTTCTGGGTGGAAACCCAGAGGAAGATGATGAAACGATTGCTTGTCAAAGCATGGAATTTTGAAAAAATTGAGGAAAGAAAAGGTCGAAGAGGCGTCGACAGTTACCTTCCAGGGTATTCACGGTTTTCTCGCTAGCAATCCAGGACGCGGCTGATGAACCAGGATCAGATACTTCTTGGGCCACCTCCAAACATTCACGTGCCGATTCACCTTCTGATCTGTTTTGAGACCGCAAGGCGTGGCACAGAAATCTGCTCAGACAGGCTCATAACAATTAAACATATATACCAAATGAAGCCAGGAGGGTCTACCCTGAGATCAAGTCCGCGGAAGGCTTCGGGGACACTTGGCAAGACATGGTTAGGTCTTCGCAGTCCAAATCGATGTTAACCAGGAGATCGGAGAAGGAGAAATCGACATCAAGATCGGGAAGATCCAAGTCAAAGATGTCCCCAGTCCTGCCATCAGCAGCCGCGGGTTCCTCAGAAGGAATGGGCCTGTCGGAGCCATCAAAATCTAGCCTGCCCTTCACGTTGATCCTTTTGCCCAGCCTTTTCGGACTTGATTTCATGGGTGACGAAGATATGCAGACGCTCTTCTCAACATAGTAGCCCTTACTTTTTAAAGGACTGACAACAAGGGTTTTTGAGGAGATCACAGAGCACGTTGACGGAGCTGACTCTCTGCAAGCGCTGACGTTGGCACGTTGTGATCGAATGGACATGCTCTCAACCGTTGAATCGGCCTGTTCCATCTGTAAATCGAATGCTTTAGGAGTTTCAGGCGAAGTTGACTCGGCCCCGCTGCCAGGCGTCGGCATGAATAGACTCTTCGCCACAGACGATCCTTGGATCGATTGATCGCCAGGCTGACATCCAGCGGAAGTCGTGCCAGCGAGAGGAAGCCTCTCGGCTGTTTCTCCAGCGCCGCTTGCTACATCACGCGTTGGGGTTGGCAGGACGCCTAGAAGGGACAAGAAGAGAGGGAGAATCTTCAGGTGTGGCCTCATGTTGTAGAAAACACCGCGTATATACCCCCCCGAAGTTGTTCTTTAGAAATAAATTAATTACCTCTCACCGTGGGGACCTCCGCCTGGGGTCGTCCACGGTATTTCCTTGGAGCTGCAGGTGCTCTGAGGATGGGCTTCGGATTTTTTCTCTGGGTAGTCGATGCAGTCTGAGCAATCGGAGTAGAAACCGCGCTACCATATACCATATTACCCGGAACAACTGGCGATGGGGATTTCAAGACGAGAACGTTGCGTACCAAATCAGAGCCTGCGAAGCCAAAAAGAAGAAAAGAAAAAGAATTAGCATAACAGGAAACCGCTCACGTTTACATCAGATCAGACACTAGTTTTATCAAAGAAAAGGGAATGGCAAGCATAGGAAACTAGAAAGGGAGATCAGGGCCGGTTAAGATGCGCATTCTTTTTTCTCCTCAGGGGCATGTGACGAGCACAAGAGAACAGATGGACCCCGGAAGTTAGTTCTACGCGGCGAAGCAAAATAAATGAGATAAATGTTGTCTGGATATTAGTTCATGGGGTTGGAAGCTCCAACAAGATCAGCGACCAAGTCACTGAGGAAGAAGAACAAAATCACCGAAGGAGTTTATTTCTCGAGCCAATGATAAATTACGAAATCAAACCGAAGAGCACCAAGACTTTTACGGGCTAAGATTCTGACCGTCAGCAACCAAGGGCAAACGGTTACCCATCCTTTTGCTCGACCACAACAGGCCTTTGAAAGCAAGATCCGAATTCTGATCCACGAGAGTTGCTTACTATCTCACAGTTGGGCCACAAAAGGCTCGCAGACAATCCATTCTCTGTCAATGTGGGTATGACTTGAACTTCATTGGACCTAAAAGAAAAATCTGTCTATTCGGACTATTGATCTGAGATGATGCTCAGTCACACCAATTTTGAGAATTATAGGTGAAATATGATGTTGCAGTCGGGGACATTGCCGAGTATATCGATCAAAACCAACTATTAGAAAGAAAAAAAGGCAAAGCTCTCGACAAATAGGTCTGGTTTCTATCTTGTCTGGGCTTATTTTCCTTACCAGGGGGAGATATACTGCTCGAATAATGGGGAAAACTGGAGACTGCGGGCCTCACTGACACCTCCGAAGGAGGCGGAGGATGAGGCGTTGAGGGTGAAGGCAGGTAATTATGCGGGAGGGGAGAAACCGTGGATCTGCCGCCATCAATGCCGGCGGAGTGGTACGCCTGAACCGCGTCGTTGATCCCACGCAGCAGGGCCTCCACCCGATGCTTCTCCTGATCCACCACGATCCGCTGCTCCTTGAGCTTGACGTACTCGTCCAAGATCTCCGCCAGGCTGAGGAGCCCCTTGGGCGGCTCCCTGTTCCTCGTCTTCGAGAAGCGCCCCGCAGCCTCCGACCGGAACGACGCGAGGGTGGCGGTGTAGCCGCTGTCGGCCAGGTAGCGATCCACAATGAAGGCAATCTGGACGGGCGTGACCTTCCCCTTGCCGGCGTTAGCGGGGATCTTCTCCGGAGGGCTCTGCTGCTTCCCCATCCGCGCTCCGGCGTCCCCAGAGAGGAGAGAAGGCGATCTGGACGACGGCGGGATGGAATGGCAGTTGAGCGGGAGGCCTCGAAGATTTCACGCGGAGAAACTGGCGGCGGCCGTGCCATCTTTTCCCTCTCTCTCTCTCTCTAATTTTTTGGCGCGGATTCCTTCCGTTCCTTTCGATTTGAGTTATTTCCTCTATATACCCACAACAATCCAAATAATTAAATTTAGCACCCAGAGAAATAGTATATCTTCTCATGGCTCCATTAGATAACAATCTAGATTGGCTTAGTTAGCCAGCCCAAGTGGGATTATAACCATTCGACTTCCATTCGGACAGTGACTCTCACTCCTGACAGAGGTTAACCCCGGTTGCCTCAGGCTCAGTTAAGAGGTTGAGCTCAAGTTTGTATTTCGGCATGGTTCCCATCATCCACTCGCTCAGCCATCCCAAGCTAATCAAACATTGGATAATCAGGTCATCTGGAATGAATTCTAGTAACCCAACCTGCTCTTATCTTGACCACCACCACCACCACCTCTATCACCTTCTTATTGCACAACTATGAAGGCATATAATTTAGTCACCATCTTTGGAGACAAGAAGTTGTTGTAAGGTGTCTACTTGGAAGAATTTTGGGTGGTAGTGACATTTTTCCCCACTTGAAGCCTCCTCCTCATGGATCTTAGCACCTATGTGAGTCACTAGGAACACTAGTTAATGTGAAGAGTTTGAGGATAAATGAGAAGTAAAATTCTATAAGTCTTGAGAATTGGGGGTGATTCAATGAGTTGACTCATGTAATTAATCGCCTAGAATTATGAACAATTAAGAGCATAGAAAAGGGCATAACCTGTACTCCACTCACTCATCCACATAAATAAGGTCAAATTTAATCCACAACCTACACTCAAACCCAATTTCTCATAGCTTAAGAGCCTTTATAATTTTGATGTTGATGAAGCAAAATATCAAAGGATAAAATAGTGATTTTACACTATCAAAATTGTGTCACAACTTTATACATCCATTAGTAGAATATTTTTTATAACCCTGGGAAAGTCTCATGTGATTTCAAGATTGATTGTGTGACCCATAGTATCTCCTTCTATTTTCAAGAAGTGGGTCAACTATGAGTCTTGAGTTGTTTAATTAAATGAGTTTGGTATTCCTAGTTAAGAAAAACATCATGTAAAGGTAAAATGGTAATTTTCTTATTAACGAGATCACATCATAAGCACATGTCAAAATACCTCCCATGCTTGAGCTTACTTTTTTTACTCACTTATCTTATAGTAAATGGGTTGACACAATTGATATAAAAAATGGCAAAGTATAGATGTGAGGCATTAGTACTCATGAAGAAGACTTCTCCCTTATAAATTATCTAAGAAGTGAGTACACCCACCTAATAGAGAAATATCCCATCCAATTTAGCAATTAAGCAAATGACTCAACTCATGTAGAAGAAACAAGCATAAAATTTTAAGAATATAATTTTATGGGTAAAATTATAAAGCAAAAATCAAGCATCTTATTGACTCTTAATAACCTATAAATGCTCTAATCTATCTTGTAGAAGCTTCCAATAATTTTTAAAATTATTTTTCTACTTTTTTTCTATTATATTCTTAATAATAAGAAGAAAGTTGATAGTTAAGAGGCATGACGTTACATGACAAACAAGGAATAAGATAAACTGTTCTAGATATTACAGTCACCATTTCCAATTGGTTTTTAAATTAAAAGCACAAAATAAATTATACTACTGAAAAATACTTGTCAAATCTATGAGATAATTATTGCCTATTATTTTTTATTTAAAATTTATTTGATTGAGACCATATAGTTATGAATTCAAGAGTGTTTTGAGAAATATTTATGATGACATAAGTATGTAATGTTTATAAAGTGGAGTAAGACAAGCAGCCAAATCACCATAATTTCACACTTTTCTACTTTCATTAGCAATTAAACTTGAAAGGACAATAGGTAAAGACCAATTCATTCATTTTTTTATTTCCTCAAATCATCCTAAACAAATTGACACATTCTCTCCCGACTTTATAATCCACCTAGTGTCTAGTCCCTACTTCAAGAATTGATATTTATCTTTTTTGAACTTCATGTTGACAAAACATGCACAAGGGTGAGATATGGACAAAATATTTTTCTCATCTTTCAACTACTCTTATTAATTATTATGTGTATGTTCCTATTTTTAAAAAGAAACTAAACTCACCTAGAAAGAAGAACTTTTACACTATAATTATAAATATTATATAAGGATATATAAGTAATTTAATATTAGGAATATTAATATATTAGTAAAATTATGTGTTTGTTAAGTTTAAGCAAACATAGATTTAGAAGGTAGGGTTGAATTGATTTATTTTAAGTCCTTAACTTAGATTAAAAAAGTGTAAGACTAATAAGTCTCTATTATCATGGTTAATAGTTAATTAAATGATATGTTTTATATATTATATTATGATAAATAGTCTTTCTTATATTTACCTTCAATCGAGAAAAATAATTTTTACGTGAGTAATGTAAATTTATGAACGACATGTATAATCTCATCATACATGTGAGTGGGGTCAAATCACATGTATAAGACAAAATATGATCTCATCACACATGTGTGAGTGTGGTCAAACCATATGTATAATCTTCTCTCCATATGATTCTAGTCATTTTATTTCTACAAGAAGTAACTGAAATATATTAGATAGCCCCAATTTATAAAAATATAGAACTCTCTTAAACAACTAATGTGGAACTAAATCATCATCAATTCTCATCAATAAAAATAATATAGAAAATACCCCTATGTAAAGAGAAGGTAAAACTCTCATATTCTTAGTGCATCAAGAGTATAATGGGAAATTATTTATTCTCTTTTACACAGCCGAATGACTGATGGAGCTTCAAAGATCACCCATACCAAAATAATAATTTTTCTTCTTAATTTAACCTTACAATTTTTCTGCAAAAAAATAGTCAATGAAAAGAGTCATTAGAGACTATTGATCGTTGATATAATCCTCATTAACAATAATCAAAGATTGTCATTGACAAATGCCCAAAGATTCTAGATAGAAACATATGAACTTTGGGAGGAAATCATATTCCTTTTTAGTTGACAAATGAGTTGTTGTCAAAGGTAGAGAGATCCACCAAGAGATTTACAATAAACAACCTTCTTTTGCAACACAAATTTGATGATGAAACTTCTTGAGACATGCTTCACCTCCATCAATCTCAAGTTCATCAAGTGATAGCCATCGGAGAATCATTTCACCAAACTTCTACTCCACTAGTGACAATTGCCAAAGAAACTTTACCACCACCTCCCTTTGTCATGTGAGCTTTGTGCCATAATTTGGAAAGTGTCAACATCATGAATCTTTAATGAGAGAGTTCAAGGCCATGACACTCATTATAAACCTTCCAAACATATAGAATTTCAACAATTACTGTTGTGATGCTATGACTCTATTTTTTTTATTTAAACTCATTTAATCCTTAAATTAAATATCATTTTGTTTGAAATTAAGTTTATAAATTATTTTTTTAACTTATTATGATCTATTTGGCACATACATATCTCAATTTCATCAATTGAGGCCACTAAAATCACTTTCGTGATAATTGTTGGGTGAAACTTTATTTTCACCTAAATCATTGATATAGTGATGTTGACATCTCTCTAACATCAACATCCGAATTTTTATTTTATCTAATTTTTAGAATGATTTTTTTAATGATGCTTTCGTATAAAAAGTATATAAAGTCATATTCTTTGAGAAAAGTATACATTCTTATGATCTACTTGGAATTTTTTGATAATTTTTGGGGATCTTTATTGATTTAAAATATATACATATTTATATAAATAATTATAAAAAGTTTAAAAATATTATTTTAATTCTATAAATTTTAAATTTACATGATTTAATACACAACAATTGAGTCATATCAAAAGCTAAGAGAAATTTATAATAATTTGATTTACTATTTTGCATCTACTTTCTTCAAAAATTTTATATTCTTAGATTTTATTAATATTGATTGTCTAATCGCAACTCTTGATTACAAGTTTTAGTTCCCTTAAAAAACTATTATTTATAATTTTATAACTCTAGGTCACTAATAATTGATTAATGGGTTCATCTCCCTTGGGTAATTAAATACGATAAATATGAAATGTTTCATCATTTTTGATTTTCCATAAGATAATCTTCACTTGAAGTACATTTAAAATTTTGATAAGGTTTAAGACAATTCTTATTCTCTTCATGTTAGGATACTAACATATTATTGAAGGCGTCATAGATTTAAATAGGTAAATAAAGAGTGATGAATGCTACAAGAATATCTATCGACTAAATGACTTCATGTATTTTGATCAACTAGCAAGGGATTCATAATTGATCTTTCAATTTTCATTATAATTACTTGACAAAATACTTCAGATTTTTGAAGAGATAAGATTAATCATTCTATAACAGTCAATTAATGGAAAGACATGGTACTTATAGGTACATCACACATCAAAAAGCTTTTTAAATTTATGTAATCTTCCAACATCTTCTTTCTCTTTAATAAAAAAAAAAATTAATTGCTGAAAAACCAATAGACTATGTTCATTAAATAGTTAGGATATCTTTAACTAAAAAAATATGTGATACAATTAAGGGTTAACATTTGTAACCGAATTGTATCAATTCAAATCGTTTCTACAAGGATTTGATAATGTGAACCCAAGACTAATACATGTGTCATTAAAATGGTAATTTAATAATTAAAACTAATAATAATAAATAAAGAATTACTATCATCTCAAATTAAATGTTAACATAAAAAAAATTGAATTATGAGAGAATAATAACTTTAGTGGTTCATAATATTTAAACTCATTTTCTAAAGTGTATTCATTACTATTTAGATAAACTTATATGATAGAATTAGTGGTTTAAATTCAATTGATTAATTGAGCATTAAAATATTTCTAAACAAGCGAAGTGATAACATGAGTTCATAGTAGACTAAGTTTTAATACCCGTATTTTACTTCACAAATCTCATTGATTTGGTTGCCTTAATCGCTATATTTCTTATTACGATAGTTTTTGTAAATATTTGTAACTTCCACAATAATATACTAAATAATAACTTCATATGATGAAATCATCTTTAACCTTATATCAATCATATTCAAAAGTATACTTAAGTTGATATTTAAATTGATATTATAAATATTTCTGATAATGAAAACATAGTTTATTTAATATTCTTATAATACTAACTTTGTAAGTCTCTAAGTATTTGGGTCTAGTTACATACAAAATTCGTATCCTTCTTTACATGATATGAAAACTAGCATGTAGAAAAAGTTACCAACATAAGACAAAACATATATAAGAAAAAAACTTGATAATACGTTGGACGTAATTTTTTGACTATTTTAAGCATGTAACTTAAGGAGAATATTTTCATATAAAAATAATTAATATCATTAACATTTTAAATGAGACCTTATACTTCATATCATTCTTTAACATACAAAGCCACTATAATAATAAAGTTTCCACATAATTGAGCATGTATCTTCATATTGGAGGAATCTAGACACAAAATTTGTAATAAATTTTGTCTAATGTATGCACTCACCCCAACCTCTATTCATTAATTTAAGAGAAACATATTTGGAGACTTAGGTCACTAGAGGTGTGAATCTAGTGGAGACTAAATGAAATATTCGTGTCATTGAATTTTACTCACATGCTAAGCATATGGTCTATGGAGAGTGTAGTAAGTACGGTGTGACAAACCAAGTAGTTGGTGGTGATTGAATAGAATATTATAAATTAGATAAAATATAACGTACGCTCTCTACATTTTTCATGTTTGTATTACTTAACATTTACCTTCGCATGATGGTCTGGTTATCCTATCATATTTTCCCAACCGCATGTTGCCTTCTTGTGTTCATGACATTTTTGCTTTAAGTATATCTATAATGGATCTTCTTTGAGTGTTCGTTCTCTTTGATCTATCAATTATAACTTTCAATATAGAGTTCAAGAATTTCTAAGAGCTTCATTTGTGTCCATTAACATGCGAGTTTTGGACTTCCCACTTTCACATTTCAATTTTTCGGACTATCTCTTTTATAAACTTAATGTTATATTATTATTTATTTTTAGAGGGCCGAAGCCCATTGGGATAGTGCCATTAGGATTAGATACGGAGCCCACGCTACATAGTTTTGGGCTAAATCCCGCTTTATTGTCTAGAGATGAAGCCCGCTGGACATTATTTTGTGAGCCAAAGCCAAGTTGTAGCGTTCGTGAGATGGAGCTCGTTGGATCAAATTTTGTGCTGAAGCCCATTTATCTGATTATGGGAAGCAGTCCGTCCATTTGGCACAGTTCTAGGCAATCCATAATCGGTCATTAGGATGTCATAAGGTCATATAAGACATCAGCTCAGTTGGGGATGAACCATTGGGACGCTTGAGGTCCACGCTTGAGGTCCACGCATGAGCCCATCAGTTCTTGGGTCGGAGCACAAGGGATGAACCCCAGTGGAACGACGAGCACTTAAACATACTGGCTAGACCGTGTCGGAAATCTCGTCGGGCAGATGAAAGATCGGACACAAAGCAAACTCCCCTACGAGAACATCCAACGAGACAGACCGGAAATCACAACAGCGGTGGAAATCACGAGTCTTACATGGTCCTATCAATATAACCCAGTGAATGCATAAAACCTAGATAGTGAAGAGAAAATAAGTGATTTTGCGATGGGTCGCGCGTTGCAGGTGCGGAAAGAGGGCGGTTAGTTGTACTCCTGGTCGGCCTCCTCTTCCTCGTAGTCTCCCTCCTCGTCGGCGGTGGCGTCCTGATACTGCTGGTATTCGGAGACCAGGTCGTTCATGTTGCTCTCCGCCTCGGTGAACTCCATCTCGTCCATGCCTTCCCCTGTGTACCAGTGCAAGAATGCCTTCCTCCTGAACATGGCCGTGAATTGTTCGCTGACTCTCCCGAACATCTCCTGGATAGATGTGGAGTTGCCGATGAAAGTGGATGCCATCTTCAGTCCTATGGGTGGAATGTCGCACACCGTGGACTTGACGTTGTTGGGGATCCATTCCACGAAATAGGAAGAATTCTTGTTCTGCACATTGAGCATCTGCTCGTCCACTTCTTTGGTGCTCATCTTCCCTCGGAACACGGCAGAGGCCGTGAGATACCTCCCGTGACGAGGATCGGCGGCACACATCATGTTCTTGGAGTCCCACATTTGTTGAGTGAGCTCCGGGACGGTGAGGGCCCGGTACTGCTGGGAACCACGAGACGTCAACGGCGCGAAGCCCACCATGAAGAAATGCAGCCGTGGGAAGGGGATCAGGTTCACGGCTAGCTTCCGCAGGTCAGAGTTAAGCTGCCCTGGGAACCTCAGGCAACAGGTGACTCCAGACATTGTTGCAGAGATGAGGTGATTTAGATCTCCAACTGCAACGGTGGAGAAAATTAGAGAGTTCATCCTCTGAACAATTCTATTACTAGCAAGGTGAAGAATAGGGACATACAACTCGGCGTGGTTAGCTTGAGAGTTCTGAAGCAGATGTCGTAAAGGGCCTCATTGTCGAGAACCATGCACTCGTCTGCATTCTCAACCAGCTGATGGACGGAAAGAGTCGCGTTGTACGGCTCAACGACTGTGTCTGATACTTTAGGGGAGGGGAAAACGGAGAAAGTTAGCATCATGCGATCAGGGTACTCCTCCCTGATCTTGGATATCAGCAGGGTCCCCATTCCAGAACCAGTTCCTCCTCCCAGTGAATGACAGACTTGGAATCCTGCAAACGAATCATTTACCAACGAAAACTCGTGATTAGAACAGAGTATCGTAGAGCATCTCCACCCATGTGACTAACACTTAACGTTGCAAAAACGATGGGAGAATCCAGAATAGAGGCTTGAATAAAAAAAGGAAGACATGAATGAAAGAGACCTTCATAAACCGCGAAAACACACTATTCCTTGTGCTATCAACATGAGAAAATGATGCACTGACAACATACCACTGTGGTTAAATAAATCAGGAAGCAAGCAGTTTGATGTGGCAAGAGAAATACATTGATGACGCAAGAATAACCGTGGACAGGCAAGCTTTTTCTAGGGGCTTTGAAGTAGAAAGCGGAAGCCATAAGAGATAAAAACAAATGATTCACGTCCTAGAAACCTTCGGACGTTACTCTGAAGGGCGTAGGGAAGAGGAGAGAATCGCATACCCTGAAGGCAGTCGCAGTTCTCCGCTTCCTTGCGGACCACATCCAGCACCGAGTCAATCAGCTCGGCACCCTCGGTGTAGTGTCCCTTGGCCCAGTTGTTTCCTGCCCCAGACTGCCCGAACACAAAGTTGTCCGGGCGGAATATCTGCCCATAGGGCCCCGACCGGACGCTATCCATGGTCCCAGGCTCCAGATCCATGAGGACAGCGCGCGGCACGTAGCGCCCGCAGCTGGCCTCATTGTAGTACACGTTCACCCTCTCGAGCTGCAGATCGGTGTCCCCGTGGTACCGCCCGGTCGCATCGATCCCGTGCTCGGCGCACACCACCTCCCAGAACTTCGCCCCGATCTGGTTCCCGCACTGGCCCCCCTGGATGTGCAGAATCTCGCGCATCTTCACCGGCACTGGGGGCCTCCTTCAACACCGCCGGAAGAGAGCGAGAGAGACGGAGACAGAGGTAGCGAGCGAGAGAGAGAGAGCGGAGAGGGAAAACGGAAAGTGCTTGACAGACGTAATAAAGGCGGGGTAAGTTTCAAAAAAATTCGCAATAAACGCGGGTATCGTGGCCGTCGGAGGGGGGAGGTGACAGGACATTGGGCGGGAAAAGTCGCGAGGCGTGGGGGGCAAAGGGCGGGAAAACGGCGGGAAAACGGCGGGGGTGGCGGGAAAAGGCGCGGGTCGAAGGCCTCGGCCATCTAGGCCCAGTTTCAGTAAATAACGGGCCGGTTGAATTGTTGGGCCGACATTTTTAAGAAGAGGAGGAGAGCCCACCTTTTAAGATGCGGATGAGGGGCTTTTAAATCTGCGGGCCCTGCGGGACGTTAGTGTGCAGGTGCGACTTGCTGCAGTGGCCCAATGCCCGTCTCGCGTGGTCGACTGTCGCCACCGCTCGCCCCCGGCACGTCCTTCTCCAGCCTATTGAGCGTCCGCCACCGAGCAGGGGGAGACGACGACCGCCGGAGTGAGGAGCTTCCCGTAGCTCCCTCCCTCCCGTTGAAGAGAGATCCAGGGAATTCGGCATGGAGGCGATGGGGGGATCAGTAGCCGCCGCCGGTCCACCCGCGCTGCAGGTCCGCTACGCTCTGTGCGCCGGTCGCAGAGCCGCCTCCCTGGTTCGGCTCCAAGTTGGCAGCCGGCCGTGGTCGCTGTCCCTCAGGTGTCGTGCCGAGATCTCTTCGCCGTTGTTCGCGGCTCTGGCGGGTATTTTTTCCGAGGATTTTTCTTCTGAGCGGTGTTTTCCCCGGTTATGTCTTACAGCAAAGGAGCATGCGTTTGCGGATGTCTCTTGCAGGAGTCAAGGATGAGGCGGCCAAATTCGCGGAGGCAGCCAAGAGCGCGAACATGGTGGCGCTGTCCCGCCGGATATTCTGCGACCACCTGACGCCGGTGACGGCCTACCGGTGCCTCGTCAAGGAGGACGACATCGACGCCCCCAGCTTCCTCTTCGAGTCTGTCAACCAGGGTCCTCAGGGTCCCAATATGGTGAACGATGCCTTCCTTATCATTTTAGTGTTCGTTTCTCTTCCTTTTTTTCCTTTTGTTTACGGTTCTTTAACTTGCTTTCTTCTCACTGTGATGCCATGTAGGGAAGGTATAGTATTGTTGGAGCGCAGCCCGCCATGGAGATTGTGGCGAAGGAGAATATGGTCACCGTTATGGACCATGAGGAAGGGCAGAAAAAAGAAGAGTTTGTGGATGACCCTACGGTGGTACCAAGGAGGATAATGGAGAGATGGAACCCCCAGTCCATTGACGATCTCCCTGACGTCTTCTGTGGTAAATCTTATCCCGTTTTATGTATCCTTTGAAGTCTAAAAGTCTAAGCATATATAACGACTGCCTGCTGCGTCCTCATTCGAATACTCCGCCGATATTTGTCTTTTTCTGCGACGTTTAAGCCATCCTTTATTGGTACCTCGCCATTTGGGGCTTTACATGTTATACGTTGATTTTCTTTTGAGAGAAAAATATTTCCACGCGGCAGAGATATCTTGTTTCACTGTTCGCCATCAACTAATTGACTCGACAAGTTTTTGAGATCAATGGTGCCGAGTTTCAATATTCTCCCCCTTTGTCTGTTTCATGCATTTTAAACAAAAGTTGGTCATAGACTACTCTCGGATGACTATCTTATCCTCGGTCATTCAATCAGGTAAAACTTATGTTTTATCAAATAATCATGCGGCTGCATTTTTTTAATTTACTTGACAGTAAATGTTTTCCTTATTTGTTCGGTGTAATGCTGAATCAAAACGAAACGCTGTTCTTTAAAATAAAGAAAATAGTTCAGAATGAAACATTTATTTTCCCTGTTTGTTCTGTGTCATATCTAATATATAAAAAAAACAGTGCAGAAGCTAAAAGGCCTTGGAGTCTGACAAGATATTTGAACCAAATTGGTCTTTTTCAGGTGGCTGGGTGGGTTACTTTTCTTACGATACTGTACGGTACGTAGAAAGGAAAAAACTTCCATTCTCGAATGCTCCCGAAGATGATAGAAATCTTCCAGATGTCCACCTGGGTCTGTATAATAATGTCATTGTATTTGACCATGTGGAGAAGGTATTATTTTTTTCCTCTCTTGATTTATTATGCTTGAGATCTACAACTTGAGAAAAATTCCCCTGGGACGTTTACAGTTGGATCGCCTTGTCCATTCTGATAGGAAACCATATGATGATCGTGCATTGAACAAAAAACTTACTTTCCTTACCTTCGGCTTTCATTCGTTACAAAGAATGAAATCTGTCACTCTTGGCTTGATCATTCTGTGTTTATGTTATCCGGAAGAATCTAACTGCATGCTTTATATATCCCATGAATCAGAAAGCATATGTCATTCATTGGGTTCGGGTGGATCGGTATGCTTCGGTGGAGCTAGCCTATCGCGATGGAAAAAACCGATTGAGCTTTTTAATGTCTAAGATACAAAATATCGATCTGTGAGCAATGATCCTTCCTACTAGCATCGTTATTTAGTTTCTTATCTATCTGTTGCTTCAGCTGTGCGCTGAATTGTGTTTATTAACCCATTGCTAGGCCAAAATTATCAGTAGGCTTTGTGGATATACGCAGTCGAGAATTCAGAAGATCACTGACAAGGGCGACCATGTCTAGGGAAATGTACAAGAAAGCTGTATTGCAGGCAAAAGAGCATATTCTGGCAGGGGATATATTTCAAATTGTCCTGACTCAACGTTTTGAGCGCCGAACATTTGCCCATCCATTTGAAGTATACAGATCAGTAAGAATTGTGAATCCAAGTCCCTATATGGCATACCTTCAGGTGTGTTGACTTTTGACGCCTTAACTGTTATTGGATATCACTTGTTCCTTTTGTTGGAGATATACAGAGGCTGCATTAATTCTTACCTGGCGTATAGCAAAATTTATGGTGTCAAGTGCTGCGATTGTCCTCTTTTTTACCATGTTCTGACAATTATCAGGCCAGAGGATGTATTCTTGTCGCATCAAGCCCTGAAATGCTCATTCGTGTGAAGAAAGTAAGTTGGTGCCATTGTTCTTATTTTCAGTTTGACCTCTTTTGGCTTATTAGGTGTTGTTGAATTCTGAATCGCTCAGGTTTTTTTGGATTGTATGGCTTTGAGGAAAATAATATTACACCTATTGGTGACTCAAAAATTTCGATTTATGGTGAATCAATTTGCAGTTAGCAAGCTTCCTTTAATTCAAATGTTTTTTTTTCTTTTTATATAAATGAACGGAAGAAAAAAGAAAATTAACATCTGAATCTGATGATATTTCTTTCCATTTTGTAACTCACGTATAGCTGCTATTCTTCTGAATTTCTATTCATTTGGGTTGCATCTTATCTTGACATGTCCATGGAAGGCATTTCCTCTTTTACTAACAGGGAAAGTTCATCAATCGTCCACTTGCTGGGACTGTTCGGAGAGGCGGGACAGAGGAAGAGGATATTGCATTGGAACAGGAGCTGGTGAAAGATGAAAAGCAGTGTGCAGAGCACATTATGATCGTAGATTTGGGAAGAAATGATGTTGGAAAGGTCGGCAAATCTCTTAATAGCTTGATACCGTATTTTGTAGTTATTTCTACTATAATTCAAGTGATGGAAATTTGAGTAGAACCTGAATTTCTATTTACCTGACTGGTATTTTCAACTGTCGATTTTATTTTTTTGTTTCTGTTTGCTGATGGAACAGAGTTACAAGACTTTGTGTTTAGTTTGAGGAACAATCTTGTGGTGACATTTTCTGCAAGTTAAGTGTCATCCTAGTGTCCTGTGCCGCCGCTGTGTCTAGGCTGATATATTCCATCAATCTCTTTTCTTCTTTTTCATTTTTTTTCTGGTTTCGTGTGATTTTTTTTTTATTGAATCTGGATGTGTTTCCCTTATGCAATTATAGTTTACCCGTGATACTTGGTGGACAATTTCTTGCACCTTGAAAGCCTATCCCTACTCATGCTCCCCGGTGCTGTGATGCGTGTTCATACGATAAGCATATTATTTTCTTGGGTTGATCTGTGCTCATCCTTGCCCACTGGTTTCAAAGCGACCGATGATTGGCTTTCGTCTGCAGAGATAGTAAGAGCGGTGAAAGAAATTCCCGCATAATAATTACCTCATCCAGTAGATAATCACGGATTTGTCATATATATATATATTATACTCAGCCATAGCAGTGCTGCAGGTCTCAAAATTCGGGTCTGTCAGGGTGGAGAATCTGATGAACGTGGACAGATACTCGCATGTGATGCACATGAGTTCCACTGTAAGGGACGGGTGTGGCACTTGGCCGCCGCTGGAGATTTCCGAATTCTTAGCTTTTACTGATTTTTCTCTCCGTACGGGGGGGTGCCCAGACATCCCGTCCTAATTTATGTTGAGTACCGGATTACTTGCAGGTCAGTGGGGAGCTGCAAGAGCATGCAACCTGCTGGGACGCTTTACGCGCCGTCATGCCCGTCGGCACTGTAACCGGTACTCCCAAGGTACCCCGCTCTCTCTCTCTCTCTCTCTCTCTCTTCGGGTTCCCCTGCATATATATGTTGATTGCTTGGTTAGGATCTTGGTTGGTGCAATGAATGACGAGGATGGTGCAACAACGCAACGCAGGTGAGAGCGATGGAGTTGATAGACGAGCTGGAGGTGACGCGGCGGGGCCCGTACAGCGGGGGGTTCGGGGGGGTTTCGTTCGGCGGGGACATGGAGCTCGCCCTTGCCCTCCGCACCATCGTCTTCCCCACCGCCCCCGGCATCGTCTCCGACGGCAGGCCGCGCCGCCGGCGGGAATGGGTGGCGCACCTCCAGGCCGGCGCCGGCATCGTCGCCGACAGCCAACCCGACGAGGAGCAGCGCGAGTGCGAGAGCAAGGCCGCCGCCCCCTCCCTCGCCATCGACCTCGCTGAGTCGGCGTTCCTCTGCTGACCCACCCCCCGGATGGGAGCTCGCTCGCAAGGAGGCCGCCACCATTGGACCGCGTCGACCCTCTTCGCGACTCTGTGATTCCACCAAGAATGGATGGACGGATGGATGCTGGAAGGTCTCTCAAACAATTCTATTCAGCAGATCCCACCGTAAGATCGAGGGGAGAATTTCAATTTGGTCAACTGAAGAACCGACCGCGTTGACCCTCTTCCGGCTTGGATACGAAGAACATCCCTCAGCCACGTGGGATTGTGAGATGATGAATGAATTCGCTGCGTTTAGTCACTCTCTGCTGGTCAACGAGGGTCGAGGGTCATGATTCCCGTTCAGCCAGCTGGCGGCTGGATTCGGTCGTCGCGGTTTCGCCACCGCCTTCTCATCTCCTCGGAAACGAATGGCCACGACAGCTCCACCACGAAACATACACGTCGTCACAGGTCGACCCCTCCATTCCCCGCCGCTAAGAGGCAGGAAACGTCAACGAGAGAGAGATAGAGAGAGGAAGAGAAGGAACCTACTGGTAGAGCGTCTCCATCGCCTCCCTATCTTTCTCTGCAAGAAAGGGGACGGATTTAACACCCATTCATTCTGATGTCCACCACCCCAACACAGCCATAAGTTTCTTCCGTCCTCACGTGAGACCGACCCAGCAAGGAAAGAGCCGCCGGCGGCGATCTATCTATCCGTCTGCCCCAGAGGAGGAGACGGCGTCGCTCTGCAGAGGCTGAGAATGGGGTCGGTCTTCGGGAAAGTCAGCGTCGAGACACCCAATTTCGAGGTGCTCCACAGCTGCCCCGACTACGAGATCAGAAGGTACCCCCACTCTGTGGTCGCCCAGATCACCTACGACCCGGCGCAGATGCGCGGAGACCGGGACGGCGGCTTCATGGTCCTCGCCAGCTACATCGGCGCCCTCGGCAAGCCCCAGAACTCCCGCCCCGAGAAGATCGCCATGACCGCCCCTGTGATCACCACCGCCGCAGATGCCTCGGAGAAAATCGCCATGACGGCGCCGGTGATCACCACCACCGGCGAGGCCGGAGACGCCTCAGAGAAGATCGCCATGACGGCGCCGGTAATCACCACCGGTGGTGGTGCCGGAGACGCCTCCGAGACGGCCGCTGCGGCGGGGAGCGGCACGGTGACGATGCAGTTCTTACTGCCGTCCAAGTACACAAAGGCGGAGGAGGCACCGACGCCGGCGGACGGGAGAGTGGTGATCAGGGAGGAGGGCGAGAGGACGTACGGGGTGGTGAAGTTCAGTGGGCTGACGACGGACAAGGTGGTGGCGGAGAAGGTGGAGAAGCTGAGGCAGAGTCTGGAGAGGGACGGCCGCAGGGTGACGGGTCGGTTCCAGCTGGGGAGGTACAACCCGCCTTGGACGCTGCCCCCTTTTAGGACCAACGAGGTCATGCTCCCCATCGAGTAGAAGCCATATAATCTATCTCCATCCTCCCCTCTTCCCCTTCGCAAATGTACTGCCTTCCTCTTTCCGTATTCCTCTCCAGCCTCACCCAGGTGTTCGCTGAAAGTTCTGAGAGGGGCCCTGGTCTCCTGAGCTTCCACAGCCACAGCCCCCCCCCCCCCCCCCCCCCCCCTTGGGGCCTCCTGTACTGTGAAATAAGTAGGAAATTCTCGTCGACTGGTGGCCTAAACCTTGAAATGCTCAGAGGATTAATCAAACAATCGGCGAGAAATCGAACCAAGAGAAGAATAAATGTTCTTTCATTCAGTTAAGAGCTTTCTTTAAGGATGAAAACGAATGCTACTAAGAGAGCGTGGGAAGCTCCCTCTCTCTCTCTCTCTCTCTCTCTCTCTCTCTCTCTCTCTCTCTCTCTCGCTCGCTCGCTCGCTCAGTTAAAGGCATGGATCACTTCTTGACTCCTGCTCATTTAGGGGCACATAATCAGGAGTGGAACACCCCGTGCAGCACGCAGAACACTAAAGAAAAGTCAAACTTAGCTCGTCGGCACGCAGAGGTGTCTTGCCTGCAAACAATATTGGCCGCTCTGTTGTCCCCCCACCCCCCGCGCGCCGGAGGAGAATTTATCGCCTTCGTTGTCACACAGATTACAACGGCGAGATGCAAGTCCAAATCAGACTGTAAGAGCCCGCGGAGAACACCAGAATATGACGCCCCCTGAGCCGCAGAGGATCTACGGGAACCTGCTGTTTTTCGGCTGGTCGGCCTCCGGCACCGCCTTCGGAAACCTCATCTCTGATGTCGGAGCCAGGGTTCGATCATAGGATCTTTCTCAAGGTCAAACTAGTCATTTGATTTGTCACCAAATCAGCCTCACTGGATAAGACCCGTCAGATATTTCCCCCCTCGCAGTACCGCGTCGGCCGTGGTTTCCCTCATAAATTCCACGGCCGGACGCCGGAGAAGGGAGGTCGGAGGTAGAGGGAGAGGGGCGGATAGAGAGAGAGGGAGAGAGGGAGAGAGGGAGAGAGGGAGAGAGGGAGGAAATGGCGACGCTGCGGCCGGACCGGAGCGACTCTCACCTGTCGCCGGAGGAGGAGGCGCGGATTACGGAGGAGGCGCGGGCGTATTTCGACGGCGTGACCCCGAAACGCCACACCAAGCCCCAGCGCAGCGAGTACTCCACCCAGTACGCCGACACCCTGGGCCCGTCGGAGGGGGGCCACATACCAGAGCTCAACCGGCTCCACGACCTGGAAGCCGACCCGGAGGTGAGCCCTGATTGATTTGCTCTAATAGGTGGCTGTCGACCCTCTTGTTCCGATTTCCTCGGGGAGATCCTGTTCTGTTCACATTGGACTAACAGCCTTCTACAGTTCATCTGCCGAGATCATTTGAATCTGATGTTAATCCTTTCTCGTAGTTGATCTCAAGTGGATGATCTTCACCCTTTGTTACAGGACTCGCTATCTCTTATCATTATTTTCCCGCAGATTCCAACGATTTTTTGACGATTTAATTATGCATCACCCTAAATCTCCCCAGCTTCCTTTTCTGCCGGTTGTCGCTCTTGAAAAATTGCCAACCCATTCTTGATCTTGTTTTCATTTTTTCGGAGCAGAAACTGATCTGTCAAGGAACTGAGCCGGCGGAAGAGTATGCGGAGACAGAGTACTACAAGGATCTCAACTGCGTCGGCAAGCAACACCACACCGTATGTCATTCGTATTTGGTGACAAGTCAAATGACTACGTCTTCCTCGTGACCTCTCAATCCTTTCATCAGCAGAAGCATTCTGCATATTCCAAAGGATCTTACGATATATGCTAAAGTTATACTTGATTCATCAAAGGGTATCACCGAAATCCCCATCCATGAGCGCCTGCTGTGCTTCAGCAGCATCTCTCCACCTAGATAGATCTTTCCATCCTGTGTCCTTCTAATGGGACACCAGCCGTCGCAGATGATTTCTATGAGACTTCAGAGTGGATTTTTGTGTTAAAATCAGCGGGGTTGGAAAGCGTTTTCTATCCTGAACATGATGTTCCTTTGGAACTGTTAAATCATCTTTCTCCTTTAGGAGTCCTAGTGTGCTGTCGGCAGTCTAGACCAACAAGCTTCATGGAACCCCACACCCAGTGATTAGATGGAATCTAATGACCAATTCCGGGCCACCCTGGGGCATCCCTAGATCCTCCCGGCTAGCTGTCTGCATTTGAGTTATGACCCCAATTCATCTGTGCATTCTTAATATGGCACTAGATTTACTAGAATAAGGGCTGGAATCCCACTGCCCTGTGACCCTTTTGCCATCTCTCGTCCATGTTGCAGACTGGTACTGGATTCATCAGAGTAGAGCAGCCCCATGCCAATCCACTGAACCTGGCGGCAGATGACGGTGCTGCTGGCCACCACGAATCCTGCAGGGGCAATCCGGCTACCAACGACTGGATCCCATCTGCCGATTTGGTAAGTCAATACAGACCAAAAAAAATTTCAAATTATTCAATCTGCTCTGCTGCTGCATCTTCATGAGAGGTTCTTATGTACGACGGCCTGCCCTCCCTCCCTCCCTCCAGGTTATCCCCACCTCCCACAAACCCGGCCGGAGCGACATTTGAGTCAACCAACCCACAGCAGCGGAACCCAATCTGGCGGATCCCTTGCTGCCACCCCGCCCGTTGAAATAAAGATGAGCACTTGCTTCGTTCTGTGGTAGGGAACTGAATAAAATCAATGGCAGGTGTCGCCCACTCCCTAATGTCCCACTCTCTCCCTAGCGGGTGAGGTGTCTTTTGAAGATCAAAGGAGTGTTCTTCCACCGAAAGGACTATAAGCTGTCATCACCATGAAGCCAATGAACGACCGTGTGCCTTGTTGTTGTCGTCGCCATGAACTCTGTGTGTGCGTTGGTGTCTCTGTGTCTGTTTGTGCGCGCGTATGTGTGTGGCTGAGGATGCCGGAATTAGCCATAAAAACAGCTTCGAACAGAAGAATCGGATATTGCCCACGTTACAAAACTTTCTGGCCGTCTCCGTCGAAATCAACGAGCTCAGCAGTGGCAAAGACGTTCCAGAAGAGGGCGCAGAGGAAGTAGAGGAGAGAGGTCAGCATCAGGAACCCTCGGAAGGAGCCCATCCTCTCCACAAAGAGGCCCGCCCCCACAGTCCCCATGATCGCCGCCATCGTCCCCGCAGTGTTCGACATTCCTGATGGATGGTCACAGAGAAGCCCACCAAATAATTACTTTGAAATTTCTGAAATATTACTACCGTCATCTATATGATACGATGATGAATCAACGGCCTAAACCTATATATAGTCTGAGATCCATTACCATGCAAAACCCCCGTGTATTTCGGAGCGATTTCCTGGGGAAAAGAAAACCATTTGTGAGGCATTCCACACAGAAGACTGAGAGACCATGTCGAGAACATTTGCTACGAGTTCTTGATGGGCGTACCTGAATGTTCACCAGGAAGCCAGAGTGACTGAAGGAGCTAAGCCCGACAGCCACCGTGAGCCACGCCGATGCGACGAAGGGACCCTTGGAGGCGTTCAAGCCGAGAATCGCAATGCCCGGACCAATAAAACCGATCGACTGCACAGAGAAGAATATTTTGTTTGGAAATCTTAAATGCAGGGTCTCTATGTGTAAACGTAAACGGAGGAGACCGCACGCGATTTTTCTTTTTCCTGCATTGACAGACACCATGCATTTCCATGGAAAATCACCCTATTTTTTTTCTTTTCTTCTCTTTCTTTTTCTAAATCTAGAGACATTCGGCTCAATCCGATAGTCTCACTGTTCATCCTGCGACCAAAATTCTGAAAGGGCATGCCAATATCCCACGGCTCCACTGATAATGAAGGCACGATGATTCTTAGCCAGTGGGATTTAATCTCACTATCTCTCGAGCTGTAGATCTGGTCAACTGGTTGACCCCCTAAAAGTTTGACCCAGATAAGTATCACCAAAATAGACCAATAAAGAAAATAAAATACCACCATCAATGACAGGCGATGATTGACTATATGCAGGCACATCTATGCCACACGGCACTGGGATCACGCAAGCCACTAGTTGAGTTGCAGAGCTTCGCTGAGCAGAATAAAGGGCAAGATCTCACTTGACAAGGATGTGAGACCGAACCTGATTCCATGATGCGACAAGATGCCTAGGTTCTGTGCTTACCTGCATGAGCTTCCTTGTAGACGTGGCAGCTAAACCGCCCCGAATCAGCATGTCTGAGATAACACCAGCAGAATAGCCCAGAATCGCCATCACGGCCCACGGGACGGCACTGAACCATGCAGCTTGCCTCAGGTCAACGCGATAAATCTGGCATCGAAGGAAGGCAAGTGAGACCACGGATTTCAGAGCTGCCCATCAAAGAATCAGCGTGTTCTGGCAGGAGGGTGCGGCTGGGCAGTACCATGTTGAAATATAGGGGCATCCACGAAAGATTCACAAAGAAGCCCTGAAAACATGCTCAATGATATGAGTTGGCAGAGAATGTTCTAAGACAGAAGACCACAAAGGCCTCTGAGGAGATGCAGCCATCACTTTTTTATGGTTTTTTTTTTCTTTTTTTTTTTCTTTTTTTTTTTTGTTCTTGGATTATGACGATGATTTCTCACCCAGCTGTGCATGGCGTTTGCCAAGATCAAAGCCCACGTCGGCATTCTCGACAGAAGGCGTCCAATGGGGGGGAAAAACCAGGACGCTCTGGCCTTGGCCTCATGCTGAGGAGCTGGAGTCCTCTGGCGGTCGCCGAGAATGTATTCGAGCTCGTACCTTGATATCTGAGGGTGAGAATCAGGAGCGGCCGATGTTCCAGAGACCCAAACCAGGACCCAGAGGAAGCCAAATAATCCGAATATCACAAAAGGGCCAAACACACCGGCCTTGGACATGATGACCGGGGAGAGCAGGAGCCCGATTGCACTGCCGAGGCTGAATCCAGCCATGGCAAGCCCCACAGCCCCAGAGCGTTCTGTCTGAGGAAACCATCTGCATGCAAGAGACGCCCAAATCAATCCACTCCAGTGAATTTGAAAAGAAAAATGGTGGAGAGAGAGTGAGGGAGATTGCGCTAGAAACTCGGGAAGAATCATTCTTAAACACAAGAACGCAAGAAAAATGGTGCGATTTCAGCCCTGTGAGATGTCAAAATTAAGAAGAAGAGCAATAACGGCCGAAGCAAGGGTCGTATCGATACCTTGAGACCATGTTGTTCATGCTAGGAAGCGCCACCCCTTCCGCTACACCCAGGAGAGCACGCATTGCAAGCAGAGCCCAAACAGAGCGGTCTGCCGCCCATGGAGTGAGGAAAGTGGCAAACGACCACAGGGCTACACCCCAAGCCATGACTATCTTGCCGCCATAGTAGTCCACCAGAGCACCGCCAACTAAGGGGGACAGCAGGTATCCCCAGAGGAAAGATGACTAGTAACTGATGTAATATCAGAGGCCAAGCAGAAGCAATCGAGTAGTGAAATAATCGGGCAGTGAAATAATCAAGGAGTGAAGCAGTAATGTTCCGAATTCTTTTTAAAAAACCCAGCAGCATTAAACTATATGGGGAAAAAACTCAGCAGAGATATGCATTGATGATGCATACGTTGACAACCGAAATACTAACCCAGAGGCCAAAAAAAAAAGGAGACGAAGAAGAAATCCACCAGTTTCAACCATCATTGCAAGTAAATGACAGAATGATGCTCGAGATAGGGGTCCATCGAGAAGAAATCCCCTGGATACTAATACGGCAGAATAATTAGGCTCGCCAACGTCAAAAGCAATTATTTCATCGCCGTTTTCTACCCGTGTTCGTGAGCAGCATGTTATCAAGCCATGCGGATTCAATCCCCGTGCTCCCCCTCTGCGGAGGACTCAGCATGGACCTCCACAAAACTCTGCCACTCTCTGGAACTTTGTATGTCGATAACAGGAACATACATAATGGGACATTAATCAGCGTGGAGAAAATCAGCAACTCGTCTGAAGATCCCATCAGGGTCGAGTGTGGTCCTCGCTCAATGCTCATATGAGATTCCGGAACGACCCAACAGCCAAAGCCCCAACCAACCCTAGAGAGAAGTTATCTTCTTACAAGTCCTCGTTTGGCGAGAGGATGAGGATTTTCCGTTCGGAATCAATGTTAGGAACTGAAAGCGAAGAGATATTATTACCTGTACGACGCCGGCGAAGGACTTGGTCCACCCGCGGGCGGCGGACATCGGGACAATGGCCACTGACATGACCACCCGGTCGGCGTTGCAGAGGGCCAGGGCCATCGCTATCATGGCCACTACCTTCACCCTCTCTGACGTGAGGAACTCCAGCAGGCTTGGTCGCCGAAGGAGCTCACCGTCCCCGTCTACTGGGAACGGGCTCTGCGCGGAATCCCCCCCCTGCGAAGCCCAACACAGAGAGGCGAAGACAGAATCGCCGCAAGGAGCGCGGCGCAGGAGCCGATTGCCCCGCGGACCACCCCGCAACTGGGTAGATCGAGGGTGCCCCCCGCTGGAAACCTGGCGAAGAGCGGGTGGAAGCCAAGCGGACGGGCGGCAGCCCACCGGAGGCAGAGCCCTCACCCGACGTGCGCCAGAGAGCCGGTAGCCCGAGGAAGGAGGGTGGTGCGCGGCCCAGAAGAGGGAGCGGTGAGCGCCGTTCATGACTGCGCTCGGCGGATGGGATGGAGAGGGGTGAGCAGGAAGAAGGACACCTAACGTCATCTAGGACGGCAAGTCCATCCATTCAAAACTTTCCTCCATCGCCCTATTCCTCCAGCCCTCATCTCCCAGGACTAGTTTACCTGCATATATACCGTCAAATCTCTCTCTCTCTCTCTCTCTCTCTCTCTGTATCTATCTATCTGTGAATTTTAGATAACAAATGCAGAGGAAATTTTCTCTTGTTCTTGAACCTGGAGGCCGCTCTGTGTTCTTGGAATTAATATTTTTTGGGACTCCTCACGAGCCGTTCGAATTAGCGGTAGATCCCCGTGTTATGTTATAGCCGACTGCCCCACACCGAGGGGCAACCCTCTCGCTCCCTCCGCCGACCGAAGATATGTCCAATTTACGAGTCTGTCGAGCCCAAAAGGATCCTGGAGTAAGCAAGGATGTGGGTGGCAGCCCTGCCCTCTCCCATTTTATACGCACGTTAAGATTTTTTTGGTCGCAGAAAGACAAAGGTCAAACTCGAGGTCAACGCAAATAGCTCAAACGGAATCGCCGGGGCCCCTTCAGAAGTAATGCCTTCGGTGGAGTGAGAGGGGAGGGGGCCAACAAGACCTGGCCCTTCTATTTTTACGCGCGTCAAGTCCGACGGCAGTCAAGTGAGACCCCGGCCGACGTCCTAATGAGAGCAATTATGATCCAGAAGTCAGGAACAGTCGGATTGACTTTGCTCGACACTGATCGTTACCAGCACCCTTGGACTCTTATTCCTAGATGACGTAAGAGAGACGGTCGGGCGATGACCGCCGTCGGCGGAGAGTCTCGAGAGGAAGCTTCCCATAGTGCTCGGAGATGAATAGACGACCGCCGGAGAGGGAGTCCCGGAAAGGGATGACCTATCGAGAGGAACGAAAGAGTTAGAAGGTGTCCGAAAGATGTGGGTGTGGGGGAGAACAAGGAGAGAGATGGGAAGGCTACTGTTGATATGGGGACTGGGGGTAACTGCCGCCGCCACCGCAGCGGCGGCGGAGTTCACCGGTGCAGCTTCTCCGGGGGCTCTGTGCCCCATGAATCTCACTTACGCTTCGTCGTCCCCGTGGAACACCAGCTCATGTCTGCCGGAGACCAACAACCTCGCGGGCTGCTGCAACACCCTCCTCACCCTCTTCGCCGTCGGCCTGGCCAGGCGGCTGAGAGAAACCGGCCGGTTCCGCCTCCCTGACCTGCCCACCTCCGCCGCTTGTCTTGCGGATTTCCAGTCCAATCTCACGGCCCTCTCCCTCCCCTCCACCCTTGTCCCCTCCTGCTTCCCCCCCTCGAGGTTCGTCGTCAACGAGACCACCTGCGCTGGCATCCAGACCCTCGACGACTGGACGAGGAAGCTCGGGAACTCCTCCGCCTTGCACGCCGCCTGCTCGCACGAGCTCTCCGCCGGCAACCGGTGCCGGGTCTGCCTCGAGGCTGGCTCGACCTTCTTCTCCCAGCGGACGCCCATCGTCGGCAACGGCTCCCAGAGCATCGACTGCTTCTACTTCCTCGCTACCTACATGGCGGGGATAGCCAGCGAAAACGGACCAGAGGACCCGAACACGGCTCGCTGCATCTTAGGCCTTCCCCTCGTCTCTCGGCCGCCCACCCAGAGGCGGAGGACTGCCGGCAAGGGCCTCTCCACGCTCCAGCTTTGCCTCACCATCGCCAGCGTAGTATTCGCCGTCATCTCCGCCATTTTGGCGGCCGCCGCATATCTCCGGCGGTTCCGGAAGAAAAACCAAGGAGAGGAGGAACAGGGGCGGCGGAGAGCGGCGTCGACCTGGTACGATATCAAGGAGCTGGAGAAAGCCACCCGCAACTTCTCGGAGAAGAACGTGATCGGAAGGAGTGCTTTCGGCGTCGTGTACAGGTGCGATTTACGGAACGCCTGATTTGTATTTTTTTCCCAGCGAAGGATAGAATATTTTGTGTCCTCGTGATGATATTATCTTAAACCACAGAGGCACCCTCTCCGACGGCAGCCGGGTTGCAGTGAAGAAGATGATAGAGTCCGATTTCCAGGGCGACGAGGAGTTCCGGAACGAGATGGAGATCATCGGCGACTTGAGGCATCGGAACCTCGTGCCACTTAGAGGCTCCTGTATCGTCCGCGGAGACGAAGAAGAAGACGGCGAAAGGAGCCACCGGTACCTCATCTACGAGTACATGCCCTACGGCAGCTTGCACCAGCTGATATTCCCCGAGCAGATGAAGGGTAGCCGCCAGCGGAGGCTTCTGACCTGGTCGGAGAGGAAGAGGATCATCCTGGACGTGGCCGAGGGGCTCTGCTACCTCCACTACGGGGTGAAGCCGGCGATCTTTCACAGGGACGTGAAGCCCACGAACATACTGCTCGACGGCGACATGAGAGCGAGGGTCGCCGACTTCGGCCTGGCCAGGCAGAACCGCGCCGGAGCGGGGCACATCACCACAAGGGTCGCCGGCACGGTCGGCTACCTAGCGCCGGAGTACGCCCTTTATGGCCGCCTGACGGAGAAGAGCGACGTCTACAGCTTCGGCATGGTGGTGCTGGAGGTCATGAGCGGGCGCAAGGCGCTCGAGAGATCGCCCTCAGAGATCGTCCTCCTCGCAGACTGGGCGTGGACGCTGGTGAAATCCGGGAGGGCGCATGAGGTGCTGGAGAGCTCGCTGCGGGGCGGCGGCGAGGAACGGGCTAGCGCCGGCTGGGGGACCATGGAGAGGTTCGTCCGCGTGGGGGTGCTGTGCGCCAATGTGGCGGTCGCCCTCCGCCCCACCATGCGGGAGGCGAAGAGGATGCTGGAAGGGGACATCGACCTCGTCCCAATACCGGACCGGCGATTGCCTCTCTGCCGTGGCTTCCCTCGCCCATAACTACATCTCTTCCCTTCCGTCTCTACTCAAAAAGGAAAAGCGTAGATGTAAATATATATATATATATATATATATATATATATGCATTGATCTACTTGAGATGCCATGTCCTATAGTGTTCTCTACGAGGCATCTTCTGGTCAACCTGTGCTTTCTTGAATGTGCGTCAAATCTAGTATCTGAGATTGACCTGCTCGACCTCTTTTGTTGACTATTTCTCGAGTAGAATGGACCATGAACCGAGCCGATATCAATTCGCCGACCCATCGAGAAACCACGTTGAAACATCTCCGGTCAAGTGTACTACGGAGGTACGTAAACCGCATGACCGTGTTCTATCCGTTCGTCAAACTCATCACGATTGGACAGAGTTACTCTCTCTATGATCTCGACACTCTCTGGAGAGATGAGACGAGGGAGGGTTCTTGCCGTAGACGCAGAGAGTCGGTCATTCCCGCTTTCTTCCTGCGAGCCACCGATGCTCATAGCGTCGGCGGCGAACGTCGTCCATGGTAAAATCACAGCCCAGCCGCCAACCTCCTCGGCCCCGGTCGCGTACTCGCTGCTGGCGACTTGACGGAACCACCAGAAATCCTCGTCTCATCCCGGCGTGCCCGGCGGCGCGGTCTGCGCCGGCCGGACCCCTGGGACGTCGGTGGGCTTTGTTGACGGTGTCAGCCCATCACGGCTGCCCCGTTCCGGAGACTTGCGAGAAAACTGACTCCAGTAGATTGTGACAGGGACGACGGTATTTATCTTTATTCTTTATTTTATTCTCTCTCTATTAATTATCTTTTTTTTGTTAGTCTCTACTCTTTATCATGTTACAATTTAAGTTATTAAAAAAGGAGATAAGAGTTTATGCGTTGACTCTCTAATGTGTGAGTTGTCTTGAAAATATTTAGATGTCAATAAAGTGTTTGATAGAAGTCTTGTTATCATCAGAATTCTTGATAGCTTAATGATTTTTCTTTTTTTACTCTCATTGATATTTAAAATTTGAGTTTACATTATAATTGTGATTTTGTGTTTACATATTTATTACTACAAGTGGTATTAAAGTATTGGTTTTATTATTTCTAAACTTACTATTACTTCTAAAGTATATATTGACATCTAAAAGTTAGATAAGTCTTCTAACTTTAATCTTTAAAAGTACTATGTGTTTGATGTGTTGTTGTAAATGTATTTTCATAAGATTTTAGATAGACTAAAATTAAACAATATCAGTATTGATAATTGAGAAATAATAGAGAAGAAAGTTAGAAGTTATATTCATTCATGACCTACATAAGAGCTCAATCACATCGATATGTATGGTCTTCAGCTTTCTTCTTTATCATCTCACAATTATTAATATCAATATTGTCTGACTTTGGTCCATCGAATGTCATATAAGTCTATGTGCAAGAACACATCATACACATTATGCTTCTAGGTATTAAAATTAGAAGACTTATTCAACTTCTAGATGTCAATGTGCCCCTTATATGTTATAGTAAGTCCAAAAATAATTTAATCAGTACTCTAATACCACTTGTAAGAATAAATATGTAAGTATGAATCACAATAATAATAATAATAACTCATTATTTTAATATAAATGATAAAAAATAAAAAAATCATCAAACTATTAAAAATCTTCATGAGAACAAGACTTCTACCATAAATTTTTAGTTCACATCTTAATACCCTCGAGATAACCCACACACTAGAGAGTTAGTAATAGACTCTTATCTCTTTCAAAATTAGTATTGATGATTAGGAAATAATAAATAAGAAGACTAAAGATTTTATTTGTACATCTCTATTTGATTGAGCTTTTCAATAAGTCATGTATGAATATAATATAAATAAATTATGTCAAAAGTTGTAGAAATGATGTGTACCAAAGTCAATAGTAAACAAATTGATGTTGAAGAGAAATCTATTTGAGTTACACATATTAAATGTAGATGATTTAGATTCTCGTATTAATTATTTTAACTAATTATTGAATGACTTGTTTTGTATGAAATCAGAATTTTCTAATATGAACAAATTTATGATTCTACTTGTTTCTCTTTTTTATTCATATGATCATCTTATTATGGCTTTATTGTATTATAGTATAATACCCATTCTTGAAGATATATTGATTTATTGATAGAGTATTATAATCAAAATAAAATATGTTCATTAGACTCGTGGTGAAGATTTATATGTGAAGGATGAAAGAAATGTAGAAGGTAAAAGTAGATAGGATTGTCAGGAGACAAGAATAATTAGTTCAAGTCATTGATAAATTAATTAAAAAATCAAACTTATCATGTGTCATAGGAAGAGACACTTGCAAAGAGATTGTTTGAAGAATTAAAATGATAAAATAACAAACAGGTGATTTAATTCGACTAATATTGTAAGGTTGAGGACAGAGAAGATGGAGAAGTATATTTTAACTTTGTAATTGAAGAATTATCAAACATATGGATTCTTAATATTAATTTTTCTTAACATAGGTGTCATAATGTTGGCTGATTTGACTCATATAAGAGTGCAACGAGAGTTATTTGTATAAGAAATAATGTGACTTACGAAGTTGTAGATATTGATTCGATAAAGATTAGAATGTTTGACGGGGTAGTCTGAGAACTTAGAAATGTTCGTCATGTTATAATATTATATTAGAATTTGATTTCGTTTAAAGTATTGGAGTTAAGTGAATATTACTTCAAAAGATTACTCATTATGATGAAGGGAACATGACAATGAACGAATATTTATAAATTTGAGGGAAGTACTATTATAGGTGAAGTTTGTGTTGCGACACCAGATGACTTCATGATGATGATATTTTTTTATGACGCTTACAATTGTGCTATATAAGTGAGACATGTATACAAAATTTACATACACGAGAATTGTTACTTAATGTAAAAACTTACAAATTATTTTTTTATAGATATTATGTCATGAAAAATAGTGTAAGGTGACTGACGTGACTCAGTTGTTGTATATTAAATCACACAAATATAAAATTTATAAAACTAAAAAATACAAAATTTTAGATATTTAGAAGTATTTCTAAATAAATATATCAATTATAATTCAATAAAACTTCCAAAAAAAAGCGATAATTTTCTAGGTCGATCATAGCAATGTAATATAATATCTGGTAATTATTCAAAAAATTTCTCAATGAATACGATTTTCTATAAATGACATACTAAGAAATAAAAAAGAAATATATTTAAAATTTATGAAAAAAGGAAAATAAGGGTGCGGATGTTGGGATGACATCAGCACCTGGCGGACGCGAATCGGGCGAAAACAAAGTTCCACCCGGCAATTATTGCGTAAGCGATTACAAATGATTTAATTAATCAAATTAAGATTTGTAAAAGCTAGAAGAATCATAATTGAACAAAGTATATTTTGGTAACTTAAAAACACAAAAATTATCATTAAATGAAGCGTAAAGTAAATTGAAAGTAGGAAAACATAGTTCTGACGTTGCGACGGTGATGCGTTAGCGATGCACTAGAATCCTGAGCGTTCAAGAGGATCGTCGTACAGTGTCCACGGCCTCAAAGGCTCTCATTGGACAGAGACGATGTGGGCAATCTCTAGATCTTCTCGCGAAGTCTAGAGATCAATAAAATGAGTCGTTGAATCGTCTCCGGCGGCTGTCACCCAGCGGAGTAGAAAAACGGCGACTTTGTGGCTCTCCGGCGACTGTCACCTGACGGAGAGAAGCTCAATGGAGGTGGGGCATGTGTTAGGGAGCTTCATCCTCAAGTTTGCACAGCAAGAGGAGGCTCTTCATCGCATCTGATACGCTCTCATGAGGTGGCGACTCGTCTCCTGGCGGATCGTCCTCTTCCCAACAACGGCTTGTTCGTCAATCAATCAGAGATGATTTACTCGATGGATTGTGATCCTTTTATCGCGAATCATTCAACAATTTTAGTAGTAATGCTCCACGAATCGCGTTGACGAGATTTTCGCTGATGATCCAGCGATTCTCGTTGCTTAATTCTTCACCGGCAATCTGCAAGAAAGTCACGATAATCAGATAAAAATATATGAATTTTGACTCTGGGAAGATTCGAACCCTCGCCGGTTGCCCGCCTGTGAGGAAGGTGTGATGCGGGTTTAGTCCCACATCGGTTGTGCACCAATTTTTCGGGCAAATATATAGTAATGTTAGCTTTATAAGCAAAGTCACTACTCTCGTGTGTACGACCACTCCTTGCTCCACAACCGACTGGCCACCGGTGACGTGGAAGGGGAGTGGCGCACACGTTTCCCTATCGGTCCAAGCCAAGCCGCTCGAGCCCTTGCTTGTGGCTACTCCCCGACAGTGCTTTCGACCCGTTTGTAGGCCCGGCTGGTCGACGGGTCCCCCCATTTTGTAATATTTTTATTTCTTGTTTTTCATTTATCTCAAAAGTAAGATTGTAAAAATCGTATAAAATGACATAATTATTCAAAATTTCATGTTAATCAACTAAAAACCATAAATCATACTTTAACACAAATATAAGTTTATTTATCATGAGTTAAGGCTAAAAATATATTATTTACTAATTATTAACTCATGATAATGAAGACTTATCAGTGACATTCAAGATAGTAAAGTATGAGATAGATAGTGTGCTAGATTATATTTATTCAAATATGTGTGGTTTTGATTGATGTGATATTGATAGATATTGTTCGTTATTTTTTAACATTTGTTGATAATTTTTCAAAGAAAGTATAGATATTCTTCTTGATGTATAAATTAAAAGTATTTACAATGCTCAAGATTTGAGGTGCAAAGGTGGAGAACTAAATAAAGAGGAAGATCAAAGTTTTGTGACTAAAAATGATATAGAATTTAAGATTTCTGAATTAGATCACTTTTGTGATGAACATAATATTCAACATCATTATATGGTGAAGAAGACCCCACAATAAAATATTATTGATGAACGGATGAATTGCACGATTACTGAGAAAGTACGATATTTACAATT